GTAGTGAAGCCAATCCAGATGAGTCATCCCTTGCATAGACAGATACTCCAGTGTCAAAAGATACCAGCTCTGATACGAGTTTCTGTAAATTCTGAATTGTTCCTTGTGTGTAGCTCAAGTCACCGAGATGGTACAGCACCTCAACACTCTCCTTCACAACAATATATTAACTGTGACCTTAAAAACAACCCCTATGCCTGATACATACATTGGTCTTTGGACAGATTACATTAATTAAAAGCTTTCAGAAATCATTACAACAATAAATTTTATGGAAATTGCAAGATACAGTATAGCACAGTACCATAAATTACATTGTACACTTCTGTACTTTCAACATTAAGGCATTTTTACTTTACAATTAATCAAATGCTCTAATATAAAGCTATGGTATGGAATAAAATAACGTATGGACAGTTTATTTGTGCCTTAACGACTGAGCAAAATGTATGTCCAACTCTCCTCCACACAGTGAGTCAGTGAGCTTCAGATCAAGTGTTAATAGTTGACACACTTGCAATACCCACTACCAAACACTACATCAACACAAAGTCTTCACCTTTGTGATTCAGCAAGGACTAGAAAGGTACAAACATTTGCCAAAGCTATCATTAAACTGTACAGTTTATAACACCCATTAAACACTGAGGTTGGAATGTTTCTTGGAGTAAAACATGACCAAATTCTGGATTAATATTTTCATGTAGCTCTGATCATTGCACATTAAATTAGTTTCATATAATAAGACCATATCTGCTTTCTCCTGCCATAAAGACAAACATTAGACAGTGAAATTTCCATTAAAGCTTTTAATGCCTCCAGTAGCTTTGGAAATGTGCCCAACCATGCTATATCACAAGTAATGCTTGCATAATATATACTGTATTAATAGTTTGCTTGGGTAATGAAGTAAACATATTGATAAATACTGATTTTATATGGAGCATCTTTTCCTAATATATATATATATATATATATATATAATATATATATATATATATATATATATATATATATATATATATATATATATATATATATATATATATATATATATATATATATATATATATATATATATATATATTTATTTTACATACGCAAGTATAGTAAACCCTTGAAAGACCAGGCAATTTGGGTAAAGACTTGCCAAGTATCCAGATTTTTACTAATTCTTTCGAGGAGGAGAAGGGAAATGGGTTCTGGTGGCCACTGTGCACTAAGCAACGGGAATTAACAAAGCAACTCATCCAGAATAAGGGTGACAACTGCTGTTATGATGTGTTGCTGGTTTAGTGCTTTTATTTATAATATTATATTAAGTGTAAGTCTTATTGTATGACAAATTTGTGTGTGGTTAACTGATGCATAAATGCGTGATGGCAGGTTAAAGATCAGCTATTGAGGAGCACTTGGCAACACTCCTTTCCAATCCATCTCTCTAATCATCCACACCTTTCCCACTCCATATTTTAAAATATTATGTAACGTAAAGTTGAATGGATACAACATTGCTCAATTATATTGTACTTACACTAAATTATGTGAGTAGCTATCAGCTGATCAATAGCATCTGGCAGTGCTGCAGGTTGCAGGGTTACCACAGAAACTGATAGACGCATCACCTCCTCACCACTTATCACAATCTCCCTCACCACTATCATCATCACCTAAATAATAATTTTGGTGATGCACAGATGGATTAGCTTCAGCCAGAGCAGACGTATGATATCCACTGCCTTCCGCCGCCCTCCCTCCCACCGCGTCTCACACTCGTTCATCAAACTACTGTCATTCAGGATGCAATACAGTATTGGTTATTTGTTTTCATTCATTAATTAGTAGATACATTAATGAAATAATCTGTGTTTATTAATACCTGTACCCTTCACATACGTCATCAGGAACGTATTTCGTTATATGCAATAGTATAATGACAGTTCATTAAAAATAATTAAGTTTTTGTAAAATACATTACCTTATTTATTATTAAAATATCTACTGTATTGTCTTTAATGGGGATATTGTACAGAGGTATAATCAGATTTGATATATAGACCTAATGAGAGCTAATAGGTACAGAAGACACTTGATGAATAGGACTGGCTGTCACCATGATAAGTTCATTTTTATTTCACTATTATACAGTAATAAAACTCAGTATTTACCAATTACACTTTTCAAATTAAATAATCTCCCACCAATCACATTTCAGGATGCTATCAATCTGCCGAATTCTAAAATAGATATGCTAAGCCTCACCATTTCCTCTAGTATGTCATGGAAGTCACACATCCTCAACATTGCTAAAGCTGCCTCCCGAAAGCTGGGAATGCTGTACAGATGCCGTAGCTACTTCACTCCTGAGCAGTTGCTTCAAGGGATTCATTTATCCTAACTTGGAGTACTGCTCTCATATCTGGGGTGGCTCTTCAACTGTTAGATAGGGTGGAATCAAAGACATTTCGTCTTATTAACTCTCCTCCTTTAGTTGATAATCTCCCTTCCCTTTCTCTTCGCCACAATGTTGCTTCACTCTCTTTTACAGGTACTTTAACGGACAATGTTCGGTGAATTTGGCATCCTGTGTACCGCCGGCAAGGCCGTGGGCTCGTAACACTCGTCTGGCCCGCAGTGCCCACCATTTCTCTGTGGATGTCGGTCACACTAGAATAACCCGTTATAGTGCATCCTTCTTTCCTCACACAGCCAAACTGTGGAATGCTCTGCCTTCTTCTGTGTTTCCACACTCATATAATGTCTCACTTCAAAAAGCTGGTTTTCCAGCATCTTCGTAGTGTAAATTAATATTATAACTTTTTAATTTCTTTTTATTCTAATTTTTTTGCCCCCTAGGCCCCGTTATGGGTCGCTTACCTGTGCCCGGGTGAGCTAATCCCCGTGAAAAAAAAAAAAAAAATGTATGATCAGCCTCTTATGGTATGATTCATCATTACTAATATAATATATAATAACTAACTGGAAAAAAATATGATATGAGATATAATTTGCAATTTGACTTCAAAATAATGAAGACTGATGGACTGTGCCAGAGGTGTGAGTGTGGGTGTATATACAGTGGTCCCTCGGTTAACGAACACAATTAATTCCAGAAGGTCATTCGTTAACCAAAAATTTCGTTAATCGAATCCATTGTTTCAATGGGATATTGGGTAATTGGTTCCAGCTCACCGAAAAGTACATACAAAGTAAAAAAAAAAATGCAGTAAAGTACACTTACTTTGCAGTAAAGTACACTTACTTTGAGGTGTGTATGTAGAAGGTTCCTGGTTAATGATGATGGGAATTAGAAGTGGGGGTAGAGGAGAAGGGAGAAGAGAAGGAAGTGGGGATGGAGAAGAAATCACCTTCCAGGGGACCCATGCTCGATGCAGTCATTTCACCAATAAAATTTTAAGTTCACTAGGTGTAATTCAAGATTATTTTCTTTAAATCAACACTGCACTGCACTATATATTATCAATATGCTAAATAAATTTCAGAATGACCAATAATTGTACTGTAAAAACGTAAAAATACTCTGTGTTCAAGAGACCCACAAGCAAGATGTTTCCTCCACTGAGCAGATACACAAACAGATGCCTTGGTGGGTGAGTGAAGTGGCTGATGGGCACACCAAAAACTAGTTCCCTGTACTGCAATTATGTTAAATAAGTGTTAAAATGACTAATAATTTTAATATAAAGCTTGGAAAAATATTGAATAGCACAACCTTCTTGATATTTAGTCGAATGGGAATGAATGTAAGCCCTAGAACCGATTACTGTAATGGTGGACTAACCTACTAGCCGATGAGCAAGCCAAAACATGTTGACATGTTTTCGTAAGAATTTCGCTAATCAAATTTTTGTTCATTAACCGAATACAAGATTCTTATGGAAAGTAATTCGTTAACCGAAATTTCGTTAACAGAGGGACCAGTGTGTGTGTGTGTGTGTGTATATGTGTGTGTGTGTATATGTGTATATATATATATATATATATATATATTAAAACCTCGATTAACCGACTACATATGGAGGGAAAGGGCCGACGGATAATCCGAAAGGTCGGTTAATAGTACATAAAGTCTACGGAAATAAAACATACATTTTCAAAGTACCTTTCCCTAACCTACCTCATTTAATTACCTCTATTCATTTTTGTTCATTTGCCATTCATATTTCAAAAGAATTTGCTTTAAAACATTAACCACTTTAGTAAATAAATATGAACCAGCACAGAAACCGTGAATAAAAATTGGAAAAGTCAAAGAACATATGTCATTATAAAAATTGTGACCAAGTCCCAGGTTGCTGATCTGACTTTCTGCCTCATTTACACACAATTGCAGGGTCTCAATTGCTTCTCTTACTATTGACAACACAACATACATATATTGTTTCTCATTCTTGATTTTTTTTTTCATTTTTGCATTTCTTTATGGTTCTTTATTACCATTATTATCATTATCATTATTAATATTATTACATTATCGCTCCCCAGGCCTCGATGTGGGGTCAGTGACCTGTGCCTGGGTGGGTCTAATCCCCGTAATAAAAAAAAAATAAAAATAAAAAAAAAATAAAAATAAAAAAAAAATTTTTTTTTTTAGGAGTTTGGGATTGATGGTTAATCCGAAAGTCGTTAATCGAGGGTCGGTTAATCGAGGTTTTACTGTATATACACACACACGAGACAATAATGCACTGTAAAAGGAGTCACAGTCCCAAGACATCCACACACACACTGGAAACCTATTCTTGCATAATTGTTTGGAAAACAAATTATGATTAAGTGATTAATAACTTTTTGTGAACATATAGCAGTTGTTTAATGCCCTACACAACATATTTTTTCACCTATATGCATGCATATCACCATAAATGGATCATACAACACAGTAGTTCTTAGCGAATCAACATACCAATGAAAGGAAGATAAACAAACTGTTAAGATGTAACTGATCAAAAGAGCTTGTGTAGGTTCAAAGTACTGGCTCCTGTTGCAGATTTAATACCAATAATGAAAAACAGAAAATAATATTCCAGAATTTGTGTTTAGTCCTTACAATTCCATCGAGGCATTTTATGATTAATTCGGCAAATGAGAGAAAAAAAGGATACAAACTTCCAAGTACCACTGACATGAGATGGTGGTGTAAGACTTACTACTGAAGCTTGTGTGCCTCATAAGTCATGTATTGGTACAGTATCAGCGTAAACACAAAATTAGTCTTGCTGCTAACTCCACATATATTATAAACATATCTTTAATATATCCCCTTTGTGCTTATTATACTATAAAGTAAAGCTTCCCATCTGGGATATCACACATAATATTTCAATATTTCCTTATCTTACCAATCATCAGTCATATAAAGGAAGAGTTACAATTATCACAGACTCACTAACTTTCCAGTTTGGGAAAGGATTCACACCTCACAGGTTTGTCAAAATTCCTGGCTTTTCCTTCTGCACTGGATGCTCGACGCTTGCTATGGTTACTTTTACTCTTGCTCTGGTGAACAGAGGGTAACGCAGAAGAGCTGCTGCTACAAATAACACTTCTGTGTAATGATCTTGTGCAGGGATTTTTTAGAGAGTTCATAACCCTTTCTCTATCTGCTTGTTGTACTTCAGATACAGGGACTCCACCGTGAAAATTTCCTCGACCTTCTTCATAACCAAAAGGAGAGCCTGAAGCTTCATCATCCTGGTCATCGTCGTTATCATCTAATGTAAGAGTTACGTGGTCACTCGCCTCATGACTGTCTCCTACAAAAGTGACACCTTTACTTGATGAACTGTAGCGCCTGGAGAATTGCCTGGCGGTGATTATGGCACTAACACTGTCTAATCGTAGGTCAGTTGAACCTTGGTCATTGGTGACGTCACTTGTCAATACAGCAGAATTGTTGTCACTGGCTGATGGTGGGATGGAGTGTATGTAAAGGCTTGTTATGTGGGGACTGATACCCACACCTTCTAATACCCCACTGGCACTGTCCCCTCCACCACCTAGATCTTCTTCGGCCTCTGTCTCAGAAACCTAAACAGATAAAGTACAGTATTTAGTTAAGGTATATTAAAGAATATTATTCAATTTTTTAAATCAAATAAATAAATCATGGAAACTATGTTTAGTTGAAATTAATATTCATGGCAATTATATAAATTATGATATGAGTGTGGAGTAACTAGCAATGTATGTTGAACTGATATTGATGCAATTTTACTCTTCCTTTACTTCAAACAAGCGATGCATCATTCTAAAAATGAAGGAATAGGTATATATATATATATAAATATTGCTATAATAAACAATAAAATTAATATATAGCATATCATAAAATACAATAATACACATTTTATGGTAAAAAAATAGTTCCTGTACTTCCAAACTCAAACCATCCACTGGGTGACATGACACAGTTCACGCAGTCACCCAGCTGACTCACAGACGTGTGGTGGCCGCACTGACTGAGTATATACCGTGACATCATATCAGGAGGGAGCGCCGCCACACAGTTATAGCCCAGTTATCCACCACTTCATAATACATTAACTTCCTACACACAGTATGCTCTCCATTTTTCTTATTTTTTTGTTTCATATTTTTTTTTTTCTAAGCCACATTAGAATATTGTAGTGATCAGTAGATATGCTGCAAACAGTTCTATATTACAGTCCTCACCTTATACTGAAGTAAAGATCCAGCAAGACCACGCATCGAGGCATTTTCAGTGTCGACGGTGTGTGTAGATCTCTCAGATATTGCCAGAGAGGCAGTCTCTCCGCTGGCTATTGAGCGAGCCCCGTGTGCAATATCAACATGCACTTCCAACCTGAATGTGAGCAAATGACACTATAAGTAAAAGTTGCTACTGACAAAAATAACTGATATCCCTGAAAAAGACATTCACCCTCAGCAAGTGTTGTTATATCTTTCAATTTCATTACACTCTGAACTTGGTAACAGAACAGGTATAACAAAGCCTTAACATAGTATAATAAATTACAGTACTGTACTCACAACTCACATATTACAGTACTCTCAACTCACATATTACAGTACTCTCAACTCACATATTACAGTACTCACAACTCACATATTACAGTACTCTCAACTCACATATTACAGTACTCTCAACTCACATATTACAGTACTCTCAACTCACATATTACAGTACTCTCAACTCACATATTACAGTACTCTCAACTCACATATTACAGTACTCTCAACTCACATATTACAGTACTCTCAACTCACATATTACAGTACTCTCAACTCACATATTACAGTACTCTCAACTCACATATTACAGTACTCTCAACTCACATTCAGTGATAAAAGAGAATCAATTCTTTCATATTGTCAGAATGTTTCAGAACCATTAATTCTGCAAAAAATTTATTCATCAGTGAGATACATCATAACACTTACCTGTACTGTCCACAGATATATACCATTTCCACAGTGACTTACCCTCAGTTTAATGAATCATACCAATAGATGATTCAACAAGTTTTAACTATCCCTCCTACATTTAATGTTGGCTTCTCCACACCTTCAAACATTTCAGTCATCATGCTTTCTCAAAACTTTTCACCTGTTTGTTCTAGAGATGCACGAAGAAGCTATAGAGCCAGTGAGGGAGGCCGGGGCAATGGCTGTGTTGCTTGCAGACTCTCGGTCGCTCTCAGCAAGTACGTGGGCGGCTGAGTCAGCAGAAAGTGATGCTCCACAAGACACCTCCCCAATACTGGCAGTTCCTGCACCAACATGACTGGACTCTGTAAATGAAAACAATTTCACACTCTTAAATGTCGTATAACAATAAAAGGGTACCTCTCTGAAACCTTTTCCAGGCATTCTACTTAACAAAAAAACAAAAGATATCTTATTGAATATTTTCTTTTAATCCTCTCACTACCAGGGTGTGCGGGGAAATTCTTAACTGCTCACTACCCGATTATGAAATATTCGTCATGCATTTTCCAACTTTCGCTGCCTGAGGATGAAACTTTCATCATCCAGTCACAGAACCTTGCTGGGAGATGATGTAAATTATTTTTGTACACCCACTACCCAGCAAACTTATAATGCTTTGTTCTGTTAATGGATCCACTTCATAAAATATATTCATTGCTTGCTCCATATAATATCCACAGACTCTCACCTTTTTCATATCGTTTTAACACATCTAGTTTCTCGGCTAAGCTGATACACTTTCTATTAGCTTCTGAAACAACACTACCATCACTTGCTCTCTTGCTCATGTTGAATAGGGATGCAAAAATGCTGTAAGAAACCTGAGAAAGTTTTTCTCCTGTTCCTGTTCAGATGCGTGAAAACAAAGGGACCGCCAGCAGCGATTGTTTATACAAGTAATGCTGGCGTCACCATTAACAAGCCCGGCAGCCTCCATGCGCAAGGCATTTTTTTTTTAATACCGGGATTTAGTTATTATTTATACGAAAATTTATTTTTTTTTTATTTTGTTGTAAATACAAAGAAAATAATGGTGTAAATTGAATTGGGTCCTAAATTAACCAGGGTCTTAGATATGAATCTTTGTCCTCACATGTTGGGTGCGTGGGTAATGCTGCAATTTTTCTGCCCCAAGCCTGGGAAAAAATTCTGAGGATAAAATAAGGAAAAAAATTTCAAGAGAAAATTCTGACTAAATGGTGAGAAAATCTCTCCCAACTTTTCTGCTCAAGGCCTCAGTCCTCAGTTCTGCTGCGTGGGTGGGAAGACTACTTGGGTAACTTGGGCTGTAGGCTCTTGCGCTGAGATTGGCTAATGAAACATGTTACCACATGGGATGCCTGTAATAGGCTGAAGCATTTCCCAGAGTACCTGCACGAGGCCCACATTATCCCCCACCAACCACCAGTTGCTGCAATAACGAGGCTTAAGCACAGGCAATTAAAAAAAAATCAAAATTATGGTTTTGATTATAAAAGACAAACAAATACAAAACACATTACCTGACTGTCTACCTGGAATACCAAAGACCATATCATTTTCATCATCGAAGGCTATTCTGACTCCCGAGGCCGACGTCGTCACACCACATCCTCCAGAGCGACACAAGGAGATGGGAACGACACCATACACATATGCCAACAAGATGGGAACACCTATGCTCACTGCTAACCCTGCTAAAACTGGTGATATCACAGCCTGGAAAAAATAAAACAATAGTTCACATGTGACCTACAATGTTCTCTATCAAGTATTTAAAAGTACAATACAGTAAATGAATACAAAGCTTATATGAAATGGGAAAAATTCTTGAAATGTCTTTGTTTAATTCCTCATGATCCAAGCAGACTTCAGAAAGCTAGCTACTTCCAGGAACCTAATATAAAGGTTGTGTTAAAGAGCTGTCGGAGATGGGCAGGAGAGTTTGTGAGTGCCGAGTTGAGTTGCAGCAAAGACAAAAAGGATTTTTGGGTAAATTGAATTCTGCAACTTTTATGGTTGGGGTGGGGAGGGGTGTCTACAGTGAAGTTTTAATTGAACTCATTCCCTATGAAGGGAGGATTCCAAGATTTTGGCATAAGGCGTATGAGCCTCCAGAGTGGGATTTAACTGTAGTATACTGATGAAAATGAAATTATCTGGTTATGTAAATATCCGTGGGGCTTTGAAATTGAAAAGTTGAGGGGAAGATTGTGCAGGATATCAAAGTAGAGGTGTGTGTGTGTGGGTGGATATTTGGGTTTATCAATACTAGGAACTTAGCATCTCTCACGTCAATGTGCTCCTGTAGGGAAAATATAATAGTTTCTGCATGAGGAAACCGTATTTTATGGCATATAAGAATCACTTTTTTGTCTGAAAAATGGCTAAAACAATCAGCAATGTGTCCTATATGTGAAGTTGTGGTCTCCTGTAAGCTGATGAATCCTCCACTTGCTGTCTCCAGTAGGATAAATTTTACCTGACCCACCTCCCGAATTATTGCAAATATAAAAACTTGATTTATAACTACAGTATGGTCTGCATTTACGCGGCTTTTGTTTACGCGTTTGGTCATTTATGGGGTGCCTTGCCAGAATGAAAATGCTTTGATTACTCCGTAAATTTGGTCATTTACGCGGCGAGCGGCTGGAGAGGTCCAGATCGCCGCGCCATTTTTTACCCACGTGGTCCATTCTTTACCATACGCGGGAAGCAGCGCAGTGAATGGTGCGCATTAGGCTGCTCTTACATTATCGCTGACGTCATATGACGTATCGGACTGTGATTGGGCCACGCATCCTTACCACCCATGCATTCCCTCCGCCGCTAGCTGTGATTGGTCTAATGTAACATGACGTGCCCTGCTACCAGAGGGTAGAAGTCGCTGACCTAGCAGGGCCTGTCTCATTGTTCTCAGTCCGCGTATACAGTTCTCTCTTGTGCCCGCTATTCCCCTCACAACTCACAATGGCTTCCGCGGGACCCCCACCACCAGAGAAAAACACTGAATTACCTGGACCAAGCCATGATAATGTGAAGGAAATCATCGAGTTGGGATAGAAACTTAAGCTCGCCCTTGACAACGACCCAGACAAGCATCGGTATGAAGTGTCTAATAAGCATCTGACGAAAGTTATGGAGCCGTATATCCAGATCTATCTCGACAACATCAATGCTAGTCGTCAGCGTAGTATTGAGGACTTCCTCGCCTGCAACCCACCACAACCACAGCCAGCCCAAGTCAGTGATAGTGACAGTGAGGATATGGACTTTGAGAGGTTTGTCTGGGAGGCCCTGCAAACCTCTGCGAGTAGTGAAAGTGATTCACCGGAGGGCAACTAATCTGTCCTCTGCCTCGGAACCAGCCGCCATCCACGTGTGCCGACCCAACTTTTCTACTAACGTAAGTATTAAAAACCTAATATTATTGATATTTCTCTTAATTATTAATGGTGTGTGCATACCATCATAAAATTAAGATGTTATTTTTACTGCAACGTACGTATTGTGTCGGAAAAAGTGGAGTTTGGGGGTCGGCCCAGTCTCTATTTCAATTAATCCCATATGTTATTTCATTTACGCGTTTCTCGTTTTAAGCGGTACTACACGGGTTCAACTGACCACGTAAATGCAGACTATACTGTATGTACTGTACTGATACGATAACCCGAGACGATTACCGTCAGTACGGCAGACACCCAACTCTTCAGAGGCAGCTAAGCAGTAACCATTTCTGAACTCTTACAAGTAGTACATCTATTAATACCATACCTGCAACAATTTATTTTTAAATCTACAAATACCTGAAACAAATGAAAATTTACAGATAACATTCTTTCACATTTGCATCCGTTAACATTACTGGTGGCATTGTAGCCAAGTTAGACTCATCACTGTAACCACCGGGCTACTGGACCAAGCTGTGAGGTGTTATGGTTGTTTTCCAACTCGTAATTTTGGGTATACTGTATATAGTAATTTTCTTAATTTATTTTTATTCAGTTACAAGCACACACCAACCTACATACATATTGTAAAAAAAGTAAAAGAAATAACTGTCTTAAGGGCAAAAACATAAAGGGAAAATACATTTCCTTAAATACAAGTTAGCTGGCTCAGTGGGGGAGTGGGAGAAGGGCACAGTGGTTGGTGAGGGGGAGTGTTGCAAGGTAATCGGCGGAGGTAGCGTCTCTGTTGCTATGGTAAACGGGGTACAGATGTACAGTGGTCCCTCGATTAACGAACGGTTCAATTAATGAAATTTCGGTTAACGAATTAGCTCCCATAGGGATTTTCAGTTCCATTAACGAACAAAACTTTGATTAATGACAGCCTTACGAGAAACACGCTTTGTTGTGTGCATCAGGTGATCTGCTGATCGGCTAGTCCACTAATACAGTAATTGGTTCTGTTTACATTCGTTTCCAGTGGAGTAAATATCAAGAAAGTTGTGCTCTTGAATATTTTTGTAATTTTTAAATTAAAATTATTGGTCATTCTAATTTAGTTAACATATTGATAATTTATACAGTACAGGGAACAGTTTTTGTGTGCCCTTCAGCTGATTGAATCATCCACCAACGCTTCTCAGTTTAACTTTGTTTACAGTGGAGTGAACATCCAGTTTGTTGGTCTAGAATATTTTTGCATTTTTACATTAAAATTATTGATCATTCTGAAATTTAGTTCACATATTGATAATATACAGTGCAGAAATTATTATTGAACATGAAGAAGGCATTAGAACCAATGCACTCTGTAAAGAATATGGCATGTCATCATCGACTGCCTCTACAATCAGCTGTTTGATATGTAAACAAAGCTGCCGGGAATACGACACACTCCTCAAAGTAAGTTAAAATACAGTATTCTATTGTTTTTTATTTAGTATACTGTACAGTACAGTACTGTATTTAGTTTATATTTAATGTTGTTTTAATTCTATTACCAGTAGTAAATAGGTGTGTGTGTGTGTGTGAACAGTGGTCCTCCCCACCCTGCTCTATGGCAGTGAGACATGGGTCACATACAGGAGGCACCTCAAGGCACTTGAAAACTTTCACCAACATAGTCTACGTTCCATCCTCCGAGTTCGCTGGGAAGACAAGAAAACAAATGCCAGTATTCTTGGTGACACCAACTGTAGGAGCATCGAGGCTACCATTATCTATGAACAACTACGTTGGACTGGCCATGTTACCTGCACGGACGACAGTAGACTGCCAAGGCAGCCACTTTACAGTCACCTAATGAATAGCAAACATAACACTGGCAGGCAATTGTTGAATTATTTTACCTAAAATCTTACCATTTTGCTGAGATTGACTGTGTGTGTTCAACTTAAAGCCTGTGCTGACATTTCAATGTACAATTTGTCCGATTTATCAGGGTTCTACAGTACTTACTGATGCTGTTACTCCTCCCACTACAGCCAGGTTACGCCGATGAGGATTGGCCATGGAGTATCGTGCGTGGAGCTTTCGGCCAACCCATATGGGAATACCTGTGAAAGAAACAATTTTCTTATTACAAATTGAATTTTACCTCTGTACTGGATGATATTTCACTATTTTTTTACAAATTCATTTCTATTTCTGTCATCTTAGGCAGAGAATGATGAAACCCACAATATGCACTAATTACTTAATAGCCTAAACTAAGTTCTGGTTCAGAGAGGAATTTTATACACCCATCAATGAGATGAGCATACAAAACACAGCTAACTACTTGTGTACAGTGTCCACACTCTGCTAAATAAAATATCAAAAGTGGCACCCACGTAGTGAGGGAATGAGTGTACAGGTATACCCCATAAATCGATGTCCCATTAACCGCCGCATCGCATCACCGATAATTATATATTACGGAAATACCCAGAATTTTGCCGTCTACCCCACTGATGCAACAACAACTGGAGGAGTGGCAGAGTGCTTTTGAGTCTGGTGCATGGTGGCGTGGTGCAAATTCTTGCCACGAGTGCACAAATTTGTATTTTGTGAATTATCAAGACACTACAGTGTACAGTATATGTGGATCAGATCTCTCTCTCTCTCTCTTCTTTCTCTTCTATTTTCTCTTCTCTTATCTTCTATCTCTTCCTTCTCTTATTGTCTTTCTCTTCTCTTATCATCTTTCTTTTCTCTTATCTTCTTTCTCTTCTTTTCTTTCTCTTCTATTCTCTCCATCTTCGTGTGTTATACAATCATGCCTAAGCCCCCCAGCAATACTTCTATATCTGTTTAACCCATAAACGATGGCTATCATTTTAGGTTGAGTACAGTATACAGTAAAACATCGATTAATTGGACTTCAATATATCGGAATTCACTTTTTTCACTCTCTGAGGCACTCCTGACCACTCCTCTTTTCACCAGAAAAAATAACACTTGCTCAATGAATACTCTACAGAGGTCTAATCAGCTTTACTATAGGCCTAACGAGAACTAAGACACTGCTTCTGTAAGCAGGCTGGGGCTTCTAGAGGCTTGACAGTCTGCATGACAAATATATCAAGGGTAAATGATAGTTTTTTGGGGGGTGGATGGTCCCTAACCTCCGAAATTTGTTATATTCATATGGGATTTATTACTTCAAAAACCATTGATTCCCCATCTATTGACTTTTCACATTGCACATATGTGTAAGTTATGGAGGTCTACCTGTACTGGTAATCATATACAGTACTCTACATTATGGACACAAACTCTCTATGTGAACAATTATACTTACCAGATAAATACAATATTTATCAATAGTTTACTTACCAATGATCATGGCAGGAACAGCCAGACCCGCCACTAGCCCGATGCCAAGAGGAGCACCGACCAGGGTGCCCAACTGCCACAGGATCTTCTTTTTTCTCGACCACGGTTTCTTGCCCCAAAATGTACACCCAGACGGACTGTTACATAAAAATTAAATATACAATTATTTGTGAACACACCTGTTATTAATATACAAATACTGTATCTCTCTCTCACTCACCAAGGCACCACAAGCTTTATAAACACACTTACAGTATGCACCAGAAGAGTTATCAACAGATGGATGATAACTAATCTGGCATAAAATAGTTTACCACCTTTCGAGGCTGGCTGGATGGATGCACCGAAAATTGTGATATTTATCTGGCCATGTTGAGGGACAGCCCCCTCCAGCAGATAAAGGGAAGGAAGAACTGCAAAATGATATAATAGGTGCAGGAAACCCACTATAAAATTTCGTTTATTAAAATATCCACACAAATAATCACTGGTTTATTTACCCGAGTTTGTTAGGTGTTATAACAGTTGAGAGTGAATGTGTCTGGCTTCATGAATTAACAAATCTTACAAATAAAAAAAATTTCACCTGTTCAAAATGTCAATACTTCCATCATTTTATGTTCAAACAACATTCTAGAGCTCTAACCGTCTCCAACAACATTCTAGAGCTCTCACCGTCTCCATCAACATTCTAGAGCTCTAACCGTCTCCAACAACATTCTAGAGCTCTCACCGTCTCCATCAACATTCTAGAGCTCTCACTGTCTCCAACAACATTCTAGAGCTCTAACCGTCTCCAACAACATTCTAGAGCTCTCACCGTCTCCATCAACATTCTAGAGCTCTCACTGTCTCCAACAACATTCTAGAGCTCTCACCGTCTCCATCAACATTCTAGAGCTCTCACTGTCTCCAACAACATTCTAGAGCTAACCGTCTCCAACAACATTCTAGAGCTCTCACCGTCTCCATCAACATTCTAGAGCTCTCGCCGTCTCCATCAACGTATTACCAATAAACATTTTGTGTACATACTAGTTACTTAAAAGTAGCACAAACCTGAGATAGTGTAGGTCAGATATTTCCTTCATACACAGCCAACAAAACTCTGCTCCACACACACTACACGTCATGTGATTACACGAACCATCGTCCATCTTCACTATCAACACCTGACACCTTGGGCAAGCTTTGACATCATCATCTGCAATACATTTCACGTTCAATGTGCCTTCATTTTAATTTCAAACAAAATACGTATTACAAAATGTCTCCTATTTTAGGTATGGTAATGTGCAGGTGAAATAGAAAATGTTATAAAGTTTGACCCTCTGCTATCTGGCACCCTTGGGACCAGGACTGTGCTCGTCGATTGAAATTCCTGTTAAATAGAAGGTTGATAATTAAGAGTACTTTAGCCTGAGTTACACTTAGCCTAATGCCCATTAAGCTATGGATTCTTTGTACAGTAAACCCTCCAGTTTGGTGACTAATTAGTGCCAAAAAACCTCGCCAAACCAGAGGGCTTAATCTAATGGTACTGAGGGGCCAGCCAAAGACTCATTTTTTTCCTATTTTACCCACATATAACCTATATTTTATTGCTGAAAGAGAATCAATAAATTAGTTAATCAACATAAACATAGAAAACCAACCTTAAAATAATAAGTTGAGGAGCTTAATGTACACTAAGCTGGTATCTGAGGCTGTTCCCCCCCCCCCTCCACCACTAGATCAAAGCCTTCAAAATAAAAGTCCTTTGGTAAGCTCAATCATATCCATAGTCTTTCTCTTATCCTCAAATAAGTACTTTTTCACTTTCTTCCCAACTCGATACTCACTAGAATTTTTCGTCTTTGTTTTTACCCCATCATTTGAACCGCCCGGGCGCACAGACGATCTTTCACCACCACTATCATCCCCTCCAATACCCCCAGGCACTTTTGAGGCCTTTAATCCGTACGAGAACACAGCGCCAAGCGAGAGTGATTAAAAAAAGTACACAAAGGCCAAAGTCACTCAAACAAACAGAGGGAATGTGGACTGTCGCGGTCAAAATGGCTGCCTGAACAGCTGACTGGTGCTTTGTGCTTGGTAAATACTCATCAATAATACTCACCAATAGTATTATGCGAGATTTATCTTGCACTTATTATTATACAACTATTAGTTGCGATTGCATTGAAATTTAAACTCGCGCCAAAGGTGAAGCTTAGTCACCAAAATGGAGGGGAAGGTACAGTATTTTTAATTTTGATCGCCAACTTCGAATTCACCAAACTGGAGGGTTTACTGTACGTATACAAATTTAACACGCCGTGAGTAAATTAAATAAATAAATAATAAGACAATAATATTTAATACAGTAGACCTTTGCCAACCGTACATTTCCCCTCCACGGATTCAGGGCATCCACGGTTTATATTCTGTAAACCATTTCACCAACCACGGCATTGGCTTTCGAGTATCCGTGGATTAGCGTGGCGTCTTTATCCCTCCGTGTTCTAACTTAATCCACCGTAAATGTGTGAAATGAATGAAAATAATACTAATAAATAAAAGAAAAGATATTGCACTACCATTTGACAATTGTTTAACTAAAGACACAGGAGTGCGCTCCCTCCTCACACGATCGTGGACTGACTCCTGACCTGAGGATGTAAGAAATGTTTTTTCTCTATGTTTTTGACTATGATAATCATTTCTTTTCTTTTTTGGGGCACATTCTGTATGAACGATTGCATGTGCACGTAACAGCTAAAGAAGAAGAAAATGACGTATATCTACCTAAAACTACGAGTTGAAAAAGATTTGATACTGTAACGCAGCTCACAGCTTGGCCTGGTAGGGAGAGGCTGAGAACCCCAACACCACACCCCCCTTCCCTTCCCACAACCCAACACTAACTCCCATGAGTGAGTGAGGTCCTGTGACACCAGACCAAGTGGTGTCCCCATGATGCTACGACACCACGTAGAGAATAAGTTGCTACAGCATCATGTGAGGCTCCTCATAACACCATCTGTGAGGGAATTACCACACCACGTGATGCCACCCATAACACCATTTGTGAGGGAATTACTACACCATGCCAGGGCCCTCATAACACCATGTGAGGGAATTACTACACCACGTCAAGCCCCTCATAACACCATCTGTGAGGGAATTACTACACCACGTCAAGCCCCTCATAACACCACCTGTGAAGGAACTAATACACCACATCAGGCCCCTCATAACACCATCTGTGAGGGAGTTACTACACCACGTCAGGCCCCTCATAACACCATCTGTGAAGGAGTTACTACACTACGTGTCTGCTGTTCAATACCTCAGCACACATGATCTACGTGACCTCCACTGTAAACATTAATCTGTATGTTCACCATTTGTTCCTTTACCTTTCTCTAATGAAGGCTTTTGTTAAACCACTAATGTATGTAATAAGTTATTTATGTCCAATGTATATTTTCAGCTTTCGGGCTGCAGAGCTTTTACAATAAACCGTCAATTATTATTATTATTATTACACACACACACTACATAGTGCTAGGGGGATGTGGCCGCCCCAGCTAACTCCCGGGGAGCACAATTTTAATTTTTGCCAAGACCCAAATTCATAAAAGCAGGGGAAGCTTTCATATCTCAAAACAGTGGTGTCAATTTATGAAATTCGTATAAGCGTGTTTTCTTATCACAGTTGTTTGTACTGTACAATATCAAGAAGGATACCTGTACATGATGGTTGAACGTGTTTTGAATTTGGAGGTTTATCACAATGTTTTCTAAAACTATGCTGTTAATTAGTAGTTGATGGATAACAGAGGGTCAAGCTGTACTTTAAATTTGTAATAATTTTTATATATTCTAATTACTTCTCAGGCACAAAAATAGATCTTTTTTTGAGTATTCACTGAAGAACAATCATTATTATTATATAACTTGTGTATATATACTACTGTGCTGTGCATCTATATATGGTACTGTACAACAAACAATAACTATAAACATAACTGAGGCAATATTCATCAAGAATTATTCATCACATAACAAAGAACAAAAAAATTAAGGCGCCATCAACTTTGACTCCCTGTAATAATTTTTCAACGTACTAGTTTGAATGTCATGGAGGTAACTGAAGGAGGAGAGAAGAACATTAGGTGAGCGCTGGGCTCTGGCCATATCACAGGTCTGGTTAGGATGCCACTCAGCCTTGCAGTGGTAGCAGAAGTAACTTCCACACCCAGGACGTTCACACTTCAACTTGGGGCATCCAGCACAGCCAGTAGCAACTACAGCATACCTAAACACATATACAGTAAGTAATACTATTAATGATAATACTGCAATTAAAACCCATAAAAAATAATAAACATATATCATTACAAATATAATAAACAGCATAATTATAATTTTGATATCTATCTTACTCTTTCATGCCTCTTCCCACAACAGTACAGTATAATGCACAAGTTAAGAACAAACACGCAGTTTCCCTTCCTTTAGTATAATTCATTGTTGTAATGCCTTCCCCAACAACCAAACCTCAAATGCTGTATTGGTTCCATTCCCAAAACTCACCTGAATCGATACTTCCCAGTCATTTACATATAGAGTAGTACTGTACTGTGTTGCCAGACAAAAACAAATGAGGGAAAAAATTGGAAAGTGGGTCATTTTAGGCTTCCTAGCAGGGCACTGACATAGGGGATCTAGGTAGCAAAACCTCCAAGTAGCTGATGAGTTTTGATAATAAAAGTATGGATGGGTTAACTAATATTTACTCTTAGAATAAGTAAAACAGTACAATAGATAATATTACATTTAACTCTTCACCTTGATCCACAAGGTAATAATTCAGTAAGATTTTCAAATCTTGTGAGATAATTATTCCTTTCATTTACATTTTATAGCACAATTATTGGAAATTTCATACAATATGTAAACAGTACAGTATTGTACAAGTTATTAATTAACGGAAACACAGTATACAGTATATTGTAAACTCGTCTCAGGGTTGTGTTTTAAAGACAAAATCTTTAGGCTAAAGTTTGGGGATCTGTACTGATGTGAAGAATAGCCAATTTGGCAATAAATTTTTTTTAAATTCACTATGTGGCAAAATATGCTTAGGCTTGGTAACTACTTCCTCGACAACTTCTAGTTCAAATCAATTTAATCACAATAAATAACATAAAATATTATACTTTGTTCATTATACTGTAATGAAGTAACTAGAATCAAATACACACACATATTCTTAATTTTTGTATATTCTTTGACGATACTGTAATATCTATCGGCTTTACCTTTTGCTTTACCCATATACAAGGGTACTGTACTGTATATCACTCAATGTCATGTTCTACACTGGCTGGGTACCATAGTGCATGTTCCAAGACTTGCAGCAAGAATGGTGTTCACTTCATATACTGTACGGTATATGAGAGCTCAGACTATCAACTGGCTCAGCCATGTTAATATTATCCACTATGTATCTGTATTTTTCTGGCTAAATAAACTGTTTCAATATCAGTACTTGTGAAGATGCAGTAGCATGGCACTTGATTACAATTCAAGAGAAAATTAACCCCAACAAATACATTTTCTCTTTTGTTATTATGTACAATACATGATCTCCTGCTGAGATTCTTTGGGACTGAGGAGTATTCAAATTACGAGTATTCTTGGGTTATAGATATCCACATTTCCACAGAAACAGATGCAACTTTACTGCTTAAACTACTCATTAAAAATTTATATATATATATATATATATATATATATATATATATATATATATATATATATATATATATATATATATATATATATATATATATATATATATATATATATATATATATATATATATGCAAGTAAATATATATATATATATATATATATATATATATATATATATATATATATCTTTGAATGACCTACTGTAGCTTGGTGCATGGTTCAATACTACAACATCCTAATTTTATTCACTTAGCATAAAATTTTTACAACTTTTTGATATTGTTTGTGTCTGTGTTAATAATCACAACACTCCCTGAAGTTATGCACTTTTTAATACTGTACAGATAATAGTAAGAATACATGAGTCTTCTTTTCACAACAATACACATTCTAATCAACTAAATGCCTATTGGATGCCACTGAAGAGCAAAAAACATGGAAATATGAAAAAAATAAATAAAAGCACAGTGTAATGTCTTCAATTCAAATTTGTAAACTCTACTGAAAGATTGAAGGCTGTACTGTACGTTGGAAAAAGGATCGGCTAATTTTGGAAACTTCCGTACCATTTTGAATGTATGGGCATTAAAACTTTGAATTTTTGAACCAGAGAGACTCACCCACAGTCTGGAGCTGGACACCAGCGTGTGTCAGGGTCCATGGACAACACCCTGCGCAGCATAAAGTCCTCAAACTTGTATGACAACAAGGCATTATCCACAATGTTGTGAATATCTAGGGGAATAGTGGGAAAAGGTGTTAAATTTCAGTTCTTTCTCCTTCATGGAGATAACAAAATTCAAAGAATGTTTATTAAAATAAGATAGAATCAATTGTGTAACAGTTTTTTGAGACTACTGTAGTGTACAGTGATATCTCCATTAGCCGGAACAATTGGTGCAGAGCACTTCCGGGAATGAGATTTCCTGGTAACGAGGTGACTCCCAAAGCCGGAAAAAATCCCTCTTCCCTGGAATTTTCCAGGTGCCGGGAAAATTATCTCAGAATTTTCCAGAAAATGTGCCCCTCGGCAAATCGTTCCCAAAGCCGGAATTTTACGGAAAATTCCGGCCTTGGAAACGGTTTTCCGAGAAAATTTCAATTCCGGCTATCAGAGACTTCCGGCTAACGATATTACAATTACCAAAATAATAATAATTAAAAAACAACTTTACTGTATACCCAATAAATGTATAAATGTGCACCAATTACTTTTATCACTGAAAATTTTAAAATCTTCTAAATTACATTGAAAGAAATATTTTTTTTCACAAATAATATTTCAAATCATACCACAAGATGGTTTACACTTACCTGTGGGATGCATAAGCTCATTGCACTGAGGACAACTGATGTTGACTCTGGATTCTGTGATCTCAACTTTGAGGTATTGTCTGAGACAGGGAAGACATGCCGAGTGTGGACAGGAAATAAGTATAGGAAAAAGGTCATCAGGAACCTCCTGTAGACATAGAGAGCACTCTCGCCGACCACCTTCTGCAGTGGCACCCTCGGTGTTACTACTGCTGATACCAACTGTTGTACTTTCAACTCCATGACTGATACTGTTGCCACTGCTCGCACAGGCACCCTGCATAATCCAGGAAAACATGAATCAGATATAAGAGCAATACGTTCATAATTTTAAATCACTTAAGATCCTGATGGTAAACCATTTTAAATCACTTAAGATCCTGATGGTAAACCATTTTAAATCACTTAAGATCCTGATGGTAAACCAGACATTTACACAAACCATTTCTTGCTTGTTTTTTTTTAGTTTAAAGGGGAAGTGTAATAAACATAATGATTCCTTCATATACTGTACAATAGGATCTCAAGTCTAGTGAGTTTTAGATTCGCCATTCATATGTTTCATGTCACTTTTAAAATTTGCAGCCTCTCAAGAATAGCGGTTTTCATTACCAGTTTTGCGATTCATTGGGGAGTGGGCAGCTCGCATTGTCACAGTCTTTTGTTATCCGTCGACCCGCCGAGTGTTTTTTGTTTACGGCAGTTAGTTTGAATGAGCGAGCGGTGCAGTGGCCTTGGATTATATAACCCATCGTGCTAAAGTTTCACAAGATTCTTGTTTAACTATTAATGATTCTTGTGTATTAATGATTCTTGTGTATTAATGATTCTTGTGAATTAGCGATGAGTGATGTGTGTAATGTAAATGTCGGGAGCGGTTCTGGTGGTAATGATGGCCGTAGAGAAGGTCAACAAGCCAAGCGTGACTGCCGTAAGTGGGCCAAGAAGAGGACATACACCCTTGAAATGAAACGAGAGATGATTGAAAGTGGTACTTGTACCTGTGAAATACTGCGTAGGCTCAACTGCCCCGATCAACCACACGTTCCCTTAAGTAGAACAAGGAAGCCTTAACTGCTTCTGTGAATGTATTCTGAAGATTTTCTAGGAGCAGGACGTTCTCCGATACTTTCACAACAAAACCTACTGTTAGTTATCACAGAACATTACCTTCACAAGTGGGTGGAAAGAAGAAACTGTGAGCAAGGCGACCTGTCTGGGCCACAGATAAGGCATCAAGCACGTGTTTATTACGCTACAGTTGCACAGAAGAAACTTGTTAACTCCACCACCGTTCAATGCTTCTGTTGGTTGGTTGGTTGCCTTTAAGAAGCATTATGGGGAGAGTGCATTGGCTGATGTCGTAGCAGCAGAAAAATATCTATCTGTCTTTCAAGCTCTTGAGAAAGCGTTGGTTATTGCCAAGACCAGATCTTCAATTGTGATGAAAGTGGCATTTTCTGGAAGTGCTCACCTAAGACCACTTTCATTGCCAAGGATGAAATACAGAATTACAGTTTTATTCACAGCTAATGCAAGTGGAGATTTCTTGATGAAATCCCTGGTTGTTGACAGTGCTGCTCGCCCTAGAGCCTACCGCCATGTCAATATGTCGCAGCTCAATGACAATGTCACTTGTTTCGCGACGCTAAAACCGGTACCAATTAGTCGCTAAACTTGAGAGCCTACTGTATTGTATCATGACAACTGCAAAATATTTTCTAAAATTATCTTAAGTGAGAATGTAGATGGGGCCAAAGTCTTGAACACTTAGCAATATCTGGCATCTACTTGTGAGTTATACATATATGATTGGGATATACTAATAACACTACTGGTCATCACATATTATGCCTGAACCACAAAATGGGATAAAACTCTCCTTAATACCTAAGATCTTCAGGTACTTACATGCCAAATACTGTCAGTGTTCTATGGTTAGAGGAGGGTGAATATGCCATATCCCTACATACCCCTTCTGAGGAACAAGAATCTCCCCTAGATGTGCCTCTGGATCCCACCGAACCCCTACGGCTCCCGACAAGACTCCTGCCACTCGTGTGATGTCTCTTGATGGAACTCCAACTGCTTGATTCACCCGTTCCCTCCGCAAAAACACCCGAAGAGTCAGTGTTAGTCTCTGGTTCCATTGTAAGTTTATCTGAAATAAATTATAATAATGATGTTACAATTGTCTGTTACACTAATTTTTTTCTTCTTCCTTGCAGTAACCAACAATTGCAGAACTGTACATCAATGATAACAGTTACTATACTACAGTATTTCCGCGCTAACCTGGCCCGTAATTCACGCCCATTTATTCAAACTAAATGTGTTCACAGTTGGTAAGCAGACCCATTAATATCTTAAATAATGTTACTTATCTAGACTATCAAAATGTAAATGATTTCAAGGCATTAGCACTTCAGAGAGGATGATAGAAAATGTTTAATATTTATCATAAAAGGTCGAAGTAAAAAAAGAAATTCACTTTCAAATGAAGTCTTTTTATTATTTCATTTTTGTAATGAACATAAAGCAAACAGAAACAAGTGATACCAAACATATACCACAATAGGTAATGTACTACAGTTTGTATGGCTTGATATATCCCAAATAATTTATATACAGTAACTCATAAAACTCGATCTAAATAAGCGCTTATATAAGGGCAGTCCTTTTATGATAAATATTTAAAATTTTCTAACATCCTCTCTGAAGTGCTAATGCCTTGAAATCATTTACATTTTGATAGTCCAGATAATTAACATTATTTCAGATATTAACGGGTCTGCTTACCAACTGTGAACACATTTAGTTTGATTAAATGGACAGCTATACAAACTTTTGAAAACCTCACCTAATCTTTCCTAACATTTAAAAATCCTAAAACTATAAAAAGCTTACTTCATTAATGTTGTCGGTGTTTCGTATGTGATGGTGTTTGTTTTAAGTTTTCAGTGTGTGATGGTTGTTGTGTTCGGTGTTCAGATGACGAGGGATCCACCAAGTCCAAAGTGATTCTTAACATTTTTACAAGTTAGGAAGGGTGAGGTAAGGTTTTCAAAAGTTTTTCTTTTGTGTATTCTTTTTAGTATTCTACCCTTCATTTTCCCTCTACTTCAAAGCCATGCCCACCTTGAAAAAGTAATATTGTTGGTAATTTTATCGGTTAAATACAGTATTCGAAAAATATAAATTTCAGACAAAAATGCTATACTGTATAAAAAAAGTGTCTTGGATTTGTCTAAACTACTCATTGCAATAGTTAAATTTCTAAGATTCCCCAGATGACTAAAACTAAGATATTGTAATACTGTACCATTATTTTTAGTAGACTTTCATTATCAGATAAAACTAGAGATAACACATCCAGTTACATAAACAAAGATGACAATAAAAAATTAAAATCATTATGGTCTCATCCTAGGTGTAGTAAAAGGAACGCCCACAAGAGCTAAGCCAGCCGACTGTTACAAAGAAAATTTGAAAATTGGCCTGTGGGTTCCTGTGAGTTAATAGTGCCTGTCAGGAGATTATTATCCCAATTCATCACCATTTCTTATCCCCTCAAGGGTAACCGGATCCCTGCCTATACCCACAGAACTGATATGACTATGCCCATGTGGTGAACTAGCCAATCAGTGTAAAAAGTGCCAAAAGATTCTTTGAAAAACAGACTCTGATTGGACACTCAGAATATGCTTCCTACAGCTAATGGATATTGTTAGATGTACAGTAGCGTTGGGTGTGGAGTAGTGTGAGCGGCATCTGTGTGGGCTGCCACTGATTGTACCTGTACTGGGTGTCTTAAGGTTGATTTAATGTTTTTCTCTAGTCATTTGGATGTACTGTATAGTGAATTCCCTCCCCTGCACATATAACTTCATACTTCGCTTTTGTGAATAAATTTAACTTTTGAAGATATCTCTTTCCATTCCTCTCCCTCTTAGCGAATATAATAACAGAAATGGGTCCCCAGGAACAGATGGATGATTACAATTAACTAAAGCATCAAGTGAACCACATTTAATTAAACTACAGTGCCCACACACACGTAAATAAAGTAAGTAGAACATCACCTACGTTATATAGGTCGGCTCAAACTACACGGTATAAAAACTGTTTTTCCTGGAATAGAAATTATGCAAAATAAATGGGCCAATTAAAATTACTCACACGACGAAGTTGGAGTTCGGACCCTTTTAGATCTGGTACGGATAGAGAAAGGACTATTGAGCAAGAGCGATCGCAGGGACATCCGAGGAAACCCCGAGGAAGAGTTATTACTGCCGCCTCCTGCTCCCCCACGTTCCATGGCGGCGACCGATGGATATGTTCTGGTGCGAACGCCTCCACCGGGATTACTAGAGCCACTATTGTTGCCATTGCCACATGGCTCATTCATGGTGATAGACACTCCACCACCTAATCCTGAAATAAAATAACATTTATAAATAACTTGACTAATTCCAACAACCACAGCCGTCAAATATTATAATTTCATATTTCAATAAGAAATGCTGGAGGTGTTATGACCATAATCATGTGTGTTATAAATACTATTTACAATTACCAATAATGAAAAAATTTAATCAAAGAGAGACAGTATGTTCCATGGAAATATACCACCATCACTAAAAGGTTTACCTTTCTTCTGCACTTTAACTCCCTAATATAGAAACTACAGTACAGTACAAAAAAAGAAAGCTAATGCAAAAGAAAGCCATTTCATGTCATTTCACTTTAACAGATTTTTATTTCCCATTGCTACAATCTCTAATTTATCATTCATAAGTTGATAAAAGCTGACCTATATAACCTAAAATACTATTTCCTGTTTTCTTCTTTTAAAAAAGATTACGTACAATTTATTCCCGCAAAAAAGAACCATTTTTAATGTCTCATCCCAACATCATACCTGTCCATCTATCAACCCAATTTATGTGGCTAATTTTATATCATACAAAACTCATCCACTACACTACCACAGGTGTAGCTGCCTCGTCCACTACACTACCACAGGTGTAGCTGCCTCACCCACCACACTACCACAGGTGTAGCTGCCTCATCCACAACACTACCACAGGTGTAGCTGCCTCATCCACCACACTACCACAGGTGTAGCTGCCTCGTCCACCACACTACCACAGGTGTAGCTGCCCCACCACACTACCACAGGTGTAGCTGCCTCATCCACAACACTACCACAGGTGTAGCTGCCTCATCCACTACACTACAGGTGTGTGCTGCCTCATCCACAACACTCACCACAGTGTAGCTGCCTCTGTCCACACACCACCACACAGTGTGTAGCTGCTCACACAACACTACCACAGGTGTAGCTGCCTCATCCAGGTGTAACACTACCACAGGTGTAGCTGCCTCCACACAGGTGGAAGCCGCCCTCACCCCACCACACCACCACAGGTGTACCACAGCACCACACTGACACAGGTGTAGCTGCCTCCAGCACCACACTCCACAGGTAGCCAAGCCCCCACTGACACACAGTGTAAAGCCGCCTCATCCACCATTATTCACCACAGGTGTGGCTGCCTCTCCACCACACTACCACAGGTGTAGCTGCCTCACACCACACCACCACAGGTGTGGCTGCCTCACCCACTGCCACAGGTGTGTAGCCGCCCCACACACACCACAGGTGTGGCTGCCTCATCCACCACACCACAAACATCACCACAGGTGTAGCTGCCTCCCACCACTACCACAGGTACTGCATCCACCACACACTACCGTGGTGTAGCTGCCTCATCCACCACCACTACAGGTGTGGCTGCCTCCATCCACAACACTACCACAGGTGTAGCTGCCCTTCACACTACCAAGGTGTAGCTGCCTCACACCACCACAGGTGTAGCTGCCTCCTCCACATCCACAGGTGTGGCTGCCTCGTCACCACACTACCACAGGTGATCCCACAACACTCCACAACACTACTGCTGGTGTAGCTGCCTCATCCACACATCACTACAGGCATGCCCACCCCACCACACACTACCACAGGTGTAGCTGCCTCTATCTACATTCTCACAGGTGTAGCTGCCTGTCCACCACACTACCACAGGTGTAGCTGCCTCATCCATGGGGCTGACTTTCAACACAGGCAGCGAGTCATTCTGTCCACCACACACTACTGCCTCATCCACAACACTACTACAGGTATAGCTGCTCACACCACACCATGGTGTAGCTGCCTCATCCACAAACATCATCACAGGTGTAGCTGCCTCCACAACACTACCACAGGTGTAGCTGCTCTACTACAGGTGTAGCTGCCTCCTCCACCACACTCACCACAGGTGTAGCTGCCTCCTCCACCACACTACCACAGGTGTAGCTGCCTCATCCCACAACACTACCACAGGTGTAGCTGCCCATCCACCCAACACTACAACACTACCCTCATCCACAGGTGTAGCTGCCTCATCAGGTGTGGCACAACACTACTGCCTCATCACAACACTACCACAGGTATAGCTGCCCTCATCCACACTACTCACAGGTGTAGCCACAGGAAGGCGTGTGGCTGCCTCACCTAATTACTACCACATCCACCACACTACCACACAGGTGCTGCCCCACCCTGCTGCCTCATCCACAACACTTAGTCATCAAGGCAAGAGCTGCCTGTCCACCACTACCACAGCAGCTGCCTCACCCACCACACCACACAGGTGTAGCTGCTCCACCACCACACTACCACAGGTGTAGCTGCCTCACCCACCACACCACCACAGGTGTAGCGCCCATCATCCTGGGTATAGCTGCCCCATCCACCACACTACCACAGGTGTGCCTCATCCACCACATTCACCACAGTGAGCTGCCTCGTCTGCCTCCACACTACCTGCCTCATCACAGGACCACTGGCACGGTGTAGCTGCCTCACCCTCACCACACTACCACAGGTGTAGCTGCCTCAGCTATAGCTGCCTCATCACCCACACTACCACAGGTGTGGCTGCCTCATCTTGGCTTCTACCACAGGTAGGCTGCCTCGTCCACCACACTACACAGGTGTAGCTGCCTCATCCACAACACTACCACTACTTTCTGTCCCACAGGTGTAGCTGCCTCATCCACACAACACACTACCACAGGTGCCCTGGGTCCAGCTGCCTCATCACAACACTACCACAGGTGTGCAGCTGCCTCAATCCACCACACACTACTGCCACAGGCTGTAGCTGCCTCGTCCCACACTACCACAGGTGTAGCTGCCTCACAGGTGGTAGCTGCCCTGCATCCACAACACCACCACAGTGTGCATGCCTCATCCACAACACTACTACAGGTGTAGCTGCCTCATCCACCACACCACCACAGGTGCATGCCTCTGGTGTGGCTGCATCCACACCACTACCACAGGTGTAGCTGCCTCATCCACAACACTACCACAGGTGTAGCTGCCTCATCCACAACACTACCACAGGTGTAGCTGCCTCATCCACAACACTACCACAGGTGTAGCTGCCTCACCCCACCACACTACCACAGGTGTAGCTGCCTCACCCCACCACACTACCACAGGTGTAGCTGCCTCATCCACAACACTACCACAGGTGTAGCTGCCTCATCCACAACACTACCACAGGTGTAGCTGCCTCACCCACCACACTACCACAGGTGTAGCTGCCTCACACTACCACAGTATCAGTAGGCCATCATAACTCTGGCCTTGGACTACAAAACCTAACACACACTTATATTTATCATGTATTTATAAACCCCCCGCACACCAAGGAGTTACTACCTATTAATGAATCATAAACCAGACGAGACTAAGTTAGTTTATTTAATTTACTTTATATTACTACTTCCTATTTCGACATCTGTCACTCAAGGCCAAACAAACTCTTTTTCTCCTCTCAACTCCCTCTCTATCCTATATCCCATCTAGTATTAATATCCTTAATATATATGGTTCCCTGGAGATATTTGTTACTTACATTTACCCTCAGAGTTGTCCTGGTTGAGTGGTAATTAAGGTTTTTAGTTCACTGATCTCTCCATTTACGTTCTACTTCAGCCGCCATTGTCGACACTGCCTATGGTCTATTATAATTCATTTACCTCTATTGTCCTATCTACTGGAAAGAAATTTACTTTTTATTGATTATTGTAATATTTACGATTATTTTTATGTAAGAAATGAAATTATAAATGAATTAATTAAATATATTGTTATGTTGATAATATAATGGTTAGAGATACATGGGTTATTTTATCTAACAAAGCATGGCTGTAAATATTACCATTATTATACTATATTCTATTAACTAAATAATAGAGTATAATAAATCATAATTTTGTAATATAAAAAACTCATATAATGTATAATATTTCCATAGTGAAGTTATAAGAGATGGTGAGTCATAAATAGTGATTATCCCGCACCCACCGAGAGCCTGTGGTGGTAGCTTATGTGGTGAAAGTGTCGAGGAAACTTACTTATTTTTATTGTTTTTTGTGGTAGGTAAACGTCTATTAACCACAGTATTTGATAGGTAAGACCCCCAGGAGGCTGAGTTAATTAATACTTATGGTTAAAGTCCCTTGATGTGTATGGTAGATATAGGGTTTTGTTTCCTATGATATATTCCTTAATAGTAAACTTAGTATTATTAATTTATTTTATTTTATCTTACCTTAGTCGTCTATATTGATTATTTTGTTGGAAATCTTTGGTATTTGAGACACCCATTTTAGATTTTTTATGTATTATTTAAGGATTTACGAAACGACCTACGACCTGTAATTGGGTCCTTAACCCTGTCGTATGTCGGGGAGGAGATGTATATACCATGTGTTTTAGCTTTATCTGTGATTACAAAAAAGATTATGTAAATCTTGTAGGAAATTGCAGTGAAATAGTGATGTGTAATGGAGCTTTAAAATGGTTGCCTCTCATTACATAAGTTGTGTTATTCCTTCACACAAACACTGAACTACATGTACATATTTCACACTATGTGGTTTAGAATAACTTTATTGTAATTTACAGATTTTAGGTAAATAGATTTGGTAGTAACAATTTATAAACTGGGAGATGTGAACGTTTGAAATGGTCATAAGTCAATTAAATATCGCCATGCATAAAAACAAATTGATTTTCCAGATTTTTTTAAACAAATCAGTTGGTGTACAGTATATACCGTAATTCAGGGCTCCTCTCTGGTACTTGTTCCAGTATAACGAACTTGTTCTATGGAGTGGCTGACATCGTCGAGAATGTCTTCCCACACGTCAACGTGAAGAATGAAATACAGTTTGTTATTTTATCCCACAATGGACGAGTTGGGGAAACATATTAAACACACACTGTCACGCTGTTAGAAAAATACAACAGCTACTGTTTTTAAATTGAAATTTAAACCATTGTGATTTAATTGTGATACGTTAAAAATATTGGCAATGATGTCAGAAGCTAGAAGCAGACGACACACATATACCTGTAGTCAAGGAGTTTACAGCCCTGTTCAGGTAAGATGCAAAGGTGCATTTTTAACAATGCAAGTGAGAGACATTTAATAAGTGATAAAAATGCAGTGAACAGTAAAAAAACAAGCTGTAAATCTCAGTGTTTACACTATCAGCTGACTTGATCAGACGTACTCAAACTATCCAACCAGGAGCAAACTCGTAACAATGGTTTTAAATTAGACTAATTTAGATTTAGGCGCGAAATAGGTAAACATTGGTATGGAAATAAGAGTAGTGGATGAATGGAACAAGTTACCAAACATCATCATTAACTCGAACACACTGGATAGCTTCAAACATAGGTTGGATGGATATATGAACAATAGGGGTTGGGTGTAAATGGGACTGCCCAGTATGGGCCAATAGGCTCACTGCAGTTTCCTCCATTCTTACGTTCTTATGACGTTGCAGCATACACATGCAAAATATAAATACAGTCCAACTTGGCCCACATCCAACTCAAACCATCAAATACCGTCTTGGATAATCAACTCAAACTAAAGAGTAAAATTTTGCACTTATTTTTGCATGAATGATAAAAGTACAATGATAAAAAGAAGCATAATGCACTAACATTTCTGATAAACAGCCATGTGATGTGGGTAGCCATTAAATAAAATTACTGTACAAGAAAATACTTAAAAGTTTACCCTTTAATATACCTGGTATGATAAAAGTACAAACTGCCACGAGATCTGAGGTTGATGAGTTCAACAACAATTTAAATAATGAGTTACTTAATGCACAAAGGCAGAACATACCATACAGAAAACTAAATGGATAAACAATTATTTAAAGAATATTATTGGACAAGGAAAGGCTGTAGGTAGGAGAATAAATTGTGAAGTTTACCTCCAAGATTATTATAAAGTATTGGCCAATAGGGTTAAGACCGAGATAAGAAAAGCAAAGACCAATACAGTCAAATACTGTACAGTAGGTTCGGAATATATCGCGAGATAGGGTCCAACGATGTTTGCTATACAGGTAACTCGTGTTTGATTTAAGTGTTTTGGGAATAACGCGATTGTTCAATTAGAACCCAAAGCTAATTTACGCGCACCTATTTTTTAAATAACGCGGTCAAGACAGTTTAAATTTGCCGCGCATATTCGCCTGGCAGTGGAGTCATGTGTGATGCCTGGTGAGGTGCTTGTAAGTTATTACTATAAAGTCGCAGTCATATCAACATCAACAATTTTAATATTATTAATAATAATAATTATTATAATGTAATAATAAAGATTATTACTATTAATGATGAAGACAATGATGACATCCAGCAAGCTTCCCAGGTATCACTTTCTCAGTTCACACCAGCACTACTTTTTCTCTCTGCTCTTATTTGCACTGTATGTTTGTCTCGTACCTTTTTAGTGTTAAGCGCTGTTTCCCCCATTGAGCATGTCTGGAAAATGTCCATCTTCCTCCTCTGGGGCGCCTAAAGCTAAAAAGGCATGAAAAACAATCGCAATGGACGTGAAATTAAATGTGATCACCCGCCTTCAGAGAGGAGAGCGTGTGTCGGAGGTTGGCCGCGTGCTTGGTTTAAGTGAGAGCACTGTTCGTACCCTGTGTGGTATATGATGGTTCCCCTAACCTGTACCATTTACATGTAGTATTCTTATTTTCTTACTAACTAAAGCACCAATGAACATAGACTCGGGAGCAACAGGCTGTTTCAATATTAGGGAACACCAGACCAGGCAGCTGACGCACCATCCTGGGAACACCAGACCAGGCAGTAGATGCCACACTGCCACCCTCACTTGACAATCCCACACCTACATAAATGAACAAACCAAAAATATTAGTTACAGTATTAAATCTTTTCCATTAAGCTTTCCATTCTCTTCACTTCACGTCACTACCAACCCATTTACACTCACCTTAGAAGTCGTAATCTGCAGCAGAGTCGGCTGCTTTCTCGTCACTCACTCAAAGACTGAGCGGGCGAGCTTGAATGCGTGAGTGAGCAGCCACGGTGGCGCCTCTGGTGAGCAAATAACACATTTGTTTGCCATGGCGGTACATTTGAAATATTTCCTGCCCGATTTCCCTCGTGAAAAAAAAAATTATTGCTATATATTGGAAAATCTCGATAATTTTGGTAGTCGCGATATAAAACAATCTTTATAAAAAATTGCTATATAATCCCGACTCTACTGTACTGTACATGTAATTCTAAATGTCAAAAAGTAACACTTGCCAGCACAGCAGGCGAAGAAAAGCATTTTAGTAGGTGAGCGGCAAGGTAGGTGATGCAGGCAATGGTAGGCAATAGGGGAAATACTACATAAAAGTAAAGTGCTGCACTTAATACAGAATGACCTTAAAACTTGTGGGGGTTAGGTTCTCAAAATGGCCACAAATAACCAAATGTACGAATAACATTTGCTGACTTGGGGGGTTACATTTTTGCTCCTGTACAAAGAAATGTACAGTAGAAGTCCAAAAATCCGGACTGCTTGGGGATTGGGTCAGTCCGGATTTTCGGATTTTCTGGATTCTCAGGCAGTACTTTTAAAATTCAAATTTAAGGAGGAATAAAGAAGAGCTGAACAGGTACATTTTGATAGTTTATTCATTAGCAAATATAGCATGCTTCATTTATCAAAACGAGCAGTTTCAAAGAAAAAGCTGTGAATTCTAGAATTTTATTCTTTGCCTTTTTTATATCATAAATTGTAGACTTTCCAATGTCGTATGTTTCCATTAGAACAGTATTGCTCACACCACGTTCTAGTTTCTTAAATATTTCAAGTTTGTCACTCAATTTCAACGTGTTCTTCTTTCTCTTCACACAACGAAGTTTATCTACTTTAGGAGCCATTATTATGGGCTTGTACAGTACTCTGTAAATGGAAAGAGTAGGACTTAAAATTACATACGTTGTCACAGTTGATTGCTCATTTTAAAGTGGCGACTACGTGGTCACTTGTCGCTGTGCAGCTGTGGCGCTCACGCATGCACACATACACACAAAAGCCCGCTAAAAAAAATAATCGTGTTTTCGAAAAGTCCGGATTCTCGGGTGGTCCGGATTTTTGGGTAACGGAAAATTGTTCTCGGAAGTTCCAGAAATCACCCATTACGTCATCTTTTGAACCCTGTAAAACATCCCCCATCCCTGGAATTTTCTGGGTAAGTTCCGGAAAAATTTTCTCAGAATTTCTGGAAAATGTACCTGATTTTCATCTTTCAAACCTGGAAAAAAACTCCCCCAGAAAATGTGCCCCTCAGAAATCATTCCCAAAGCTGGAATTTTCTGGAAAATTTCGGCTTAGGGAACACACACACACACACACACATACATACATACATTACAGGAAAAATAAATTACTGGCTCTAGAATGAATGGCTCCCTGTCCCAGCTGCGAAAATGCCGGCAACTTTAAAACAACCCACAGACATTCTTGGGTACATCCAGGGTGTCATCCGCGAATAATCGAGGTCCGCGAATTGTCATCACATGCTGTACTATTGTAATTTGGTCACATACAAAATAAAGAATAAACTTTACCAAAAATAATTGTTTTCTCTACAGTACTTATAATTCAAGTCTGAATATGTAAATAACCACGTAACTTACAGTATAGTCTCGATTTACGCGGATTTTGTTTACACGTTTGGTCATTTACGCGGCACCTTGCCAGACCGACAATTTATATTTACGCGGTAATTTCCATCATTTAAGTGGGAAGTAGCGCAGGCAGGGTGCGCACAAGGTCGCCCAGTCAACAGAACATTACCAGTTCTTCACCCGCCACCCACCACAGCCACCCCAAGTCAGTGATAGTGAGGATGTGGACTTGGAGGGGTTTGACAAAGAGGCCCTGCAAGCCTCTGTGGTGGATAGTGATACAGGTGAGGGCCAATAATCTGCCCTCTGCCTCAGAACCAACCCCCCATCCCCGTGTGCCCAGCCATCTTTTCTACTAACGTAAGTGTTAAGAAACCTAATATTACTGATATTTCTCTTAAATATTAATTCTGTGTGCATACCATCATAAAATTAAGATGTTATTTTTACTACAACGTACAATATGTGTCTGGTGAAGTATAATTTGTTTATTTACTTGAGGTATTTGTTTTTAGCTCATAAAATTCATAGAAATTACCCGGCCAGAATATAATTTATATTGCTGGAATTCTTATAAGATAGTGATTAATTTGAATATAAACAAGCTAAAATTTGCATTAGACATACAATTTTTAGATCTAATTAAAGAATTTTATTAGAGAGCAAAAATTTTTTCTTTTGTGCAAAATATATGACGTTTATATTCAAATTATTCGCTTTCTTGCAAAGAATCCAACAATGTAAATTATATTCTCCTAAATATAGTCTGAGGTATTATTTATTACTAACCTAAAAGCCTAGGTAGTCCTTTTCTCCAAACATTTCTCTGGGAGGGAGGGAGCCAGCGAGCGTGGGAAGAGGGGGGGGGGAGTTGAGTCCATTATTTGAATGGACATTAACCGGCAACTGTATTTCTCTTAAATATTAATTGTGTGCGCATACCATCATAAAATTAAGATGTTATTTTTACTACAACGTACGTATTGTGTCGGAAAAAGTGTAGTTTGGGGGTCGGCCCAGTCTCTATTTCAGTTACCGGTATTCGCAGCCGTTTTGAGACCCAAACAACCGTGAATTTTAAGGGCATTCTGTACTGTACTTTTAACTCATCTGTATGTGCACGACTACAACATGGGTTTTATAATAGTCTGAGTTCATGCACTGATTCTAACAAGAACCATTAAAACAGGTACAATTTCCAACTGAAGTATAGTTATTAGATTTAAATCACCTTTAATCTATAGTAAGATAATTGCACAATGAAAACTTAAAAGCTCATTGTTAACATTCACCCCCCAAATCATTTTTCCATCCCTTGCCAATGTAGTTGTTAGTTGCTGTTAAAAATTGGAAAACAGATACAAGTATTTTGTAGAACTTTTTGTGTGATTTCTGTTCCTAGATGTTGTAAAACATTGACTACTGAGAATTAACTGTGACAACTAAGATATTAGAGTAGTGGCCAAACTGGCTTCCATAATTTATCAAATTTCAGAGGCCATGCTGATCGTTTGAGCACAGAAACACCTCCCTGGTTGTAGATAATAATACATGTAGACTGGTCGCTGGAACGCACAACCACACACACCCCCTGGCTGGCTACCTAGTGCACCAGGGTAACACAACGTATGAATACAAGTACCAACCTTATCTAGGTAAGAACATCAAGTACATACAGTACTCCTCTAGTTGTGTGCTAAGACAGAGTCTGTGGTAAAGTGAAAGTTCACAGCATGTAAAGGGAATTTCTGTATGTTGATTCTGCTTTTGATGCTAAGTAACCATGCTTACAGTATTCAATCCTTTAATAATAATATAGAAAATGAATGATGCCTAATTTTTTTAGTATACAGTATCTTGATGAAGTTTTCACACATTTGTTTATTTTTATGCTGAGAATGCAAATGCGGCACAGCACAGTGTTGGAGAGAAAAAGAACGTGTGTTAAGTTATAATATTGTAGTACTGTACTGCACAGTATATCCATATGAATGTGTTGCTTGTCTCTTTACTTGAGATTGAAGTCTATGAATTGAAATATTATTGCAATGTAGAACCAAACACTGCATGCATATCCATAATACAGTATTTAATTTTGTTGCAGTTTTGTATTGCAAAATTACTAAACATTAGTTTTTGTTGCAGAAATACCTGAACAGTAGTTGGCAAATAAGAGAAAAACGAAAGTCTGCATTTATTTGTAATTATGAGTTCAGTTTCCGTACATTGAGTATGGTCCACTTTGACAAGTGGTGGGTGTGAGATGGGCATTAGTCTATTCATGACAGACAAAATGAACCACACTAATGTAACCGATGAAGAAAATAACCTGAGATGTTTGTTTGGTTTAAGTCATCTTTCATAGAGCAGTATTGAATCATTTATTGACAATTTGTAGCCTTGAGATTACAACATTAATATTACAGATACTGTACTGTAGTGTGTAAATTAATGATTAACACTGCTCCTAAATTTGTGTTGTGTGGGGTGGATCAAGGGGCCCTGTGTTGTGTGGGGGAGATCAAGGGGTATGGAAGATGGTGCAACATAAGTTCACAAGAGACAGGAAAGGGACATAGGAAAAGACTTACTCATATCCTCTACTTTAATACACTTTATAACAGTGACTTTTGAAGCTACACATACTATACTGTTCTTTAGCTTCATAACAATTCACTACACATAGTAAATCATATCATCTCATCTATGTACAGTATATTTAACTGCCCTTGTCTGCATATACTACCCTGGTTTATTCATTAATCATTTGTCTAAGTGTACAAGTAACCAAATTGAGCCATCATGTATCACTCAAAGGTAATAAACAATGTTGTCAGTAAGGTATCTTCATGTTAAATACTATACAGTGTGTTATAGTGACCCCTGTTGTAAGCTGGTCTGCTGTAAGCTCTCATATGAACGCATACTGAGTGAATACTTTCTGATACAGCTTATCCTTTTATTTTCACATATTACAAATTTCATACAGTATTGTATTTTCTCTATAATTGAAGATGTTATATTAATGATGATAAACCAATCTTATGAGAATATAATAATGAATCAATAAATAAATAAACCTGACGAATGCGGCAACACCTGATCAGCCCCAGTCTGCTTACTGACTCAAGTGTCTTGCGGCCATTTTATTAAACAACATTTTCCCTTGAATAGGGTCCTCATGTCGAAAACCATATTTTTTAATGCGAAGGACCTTTTACTGCAGCGCACGAAGGAGTGTGGTGGTGGGAAAACGAATTAATATTACTGAAATTTGAAGAGGTATCTAGTAGCTGCTTTTAGTCACCCTTATAATTATTTTGTTAGTTTTATTGAATATTTATACAATAAAGCCTCAAATAACGAAAGTAATGTGTCCTCCAATATTGCAGTGTGTATCGCGAATCATTAACTACCATTAAATTACATCAATAATAATGAGATGCGTTCCCAAGTGTGACCTTTTCATATCTTCTGTGTGGCTTTTTACCCTCTTTTTCCCCCCAAAACAATACAATTAATGAAAATTTAAAACTATATTCTATAAATACTGATTCTGAATGCACCTTATACAATATAAATGAATAATAATATGGTCACACAAGAGGAGATGGGACGCCATTGTTTTCGTTAGTGTTTACAGTCGGGAGTCCGGGACGATAGTTCTACACGAGAAAATGAAGAAAATAAGACCCTGGTTGTAGCTGTAGTAAAGTTCATGTAAAAAAAAAGAATATTCGGTTGAACCTTGATTTACTCGGTTCTCGTTTACGCGTTTGGTCGGTCATTTACGCGGTACCTTGCCAGAACCGGGATGCCAGATTTACGCGGTGAGTTTACTCATTTACGCGGGTGAAGTATAATTTGTTTATTTACTGAAGATATTTGTTTTAGCTCATAAAATTCATTCAAATTACCCGGCCAGAATATAATTTACATTGCTGGAATTCTTATAAGATTGTGATTATTTTAAATATAACCATCATGGAATTTGCATTAGACATACAATTTTCGATGTAATGTAAGAATTTTGATTACAAAGAGCCAAATTTTTTTCTTTTGTGCAAAATATATGACGTTTATATTCAAAATATTCCTGGTCTTGCAAGGAATTCAGCAATGTCAATTATATTATCCTAACTTTAGTCTGAGGTATTATTTATTACTAAAAATGTAAATATACTGTTTTAACCCAAACATTTCTCTGGTAGGGAGGGGGAGGTGGGGAGGGAGGGACCCAGCGAGCGTGGGAAGAGGGGGAGAGCCGGAGGTGGGGTATTTTGATTGACAGATAATGTCTGGGTGAAGTGCAATTTGTTTATTACTGAAGATATTTGTTTTAGCTCATAAAATTCATACAAATTACCCAGCCAGAATATAATTTACATTGCTGGAATTCTTATAAGATTGTGATTATTTTAAATATAAACATCATGGAATTTGCATTACATACAAATTTTTGATCTAATGTAAGAATTTTGATTACAAAGCCAAAATTTTATCTTTTGTCCAAAATATATGATGTTTATATTAAAAATATTCCTGGTCTTGCAAGGAATCCAGCAATGTCAATTATATTATCCTAACTTTAGTCTGAGGTATTATTTATTACTATACCTTAAAATCTAGTGTTTTCACCCAAACATTTCTCAGAGAGGGAGGAGCAGCGAGCGTGGGAAGAGTTCATTATTTGAATGGACATTAACCTGGCGACTGTTATTTTTACTACAACGTAGGTATTGTGTCGGAAAAAGTGGAGTTTGGGAGTCAGCCCAGTCTCTATTTCAATTAATCCCATATGTTCTGTTATTCCATTTACGCGTTTCTCGTTTTACGCGCTACTCCGCGGGTTCAATTGACCGCGTAAATCGGGGGACCACTGTACATGTTTTAAGTAATATTAATAAATGGAACAATAGAAGTGGCTAACCACTAATGGTAAAGAAAAAAAAAGTGAGATGGATTGGGAATGCCTACATATACGTGTGCATTTCATTTAAGGATGCCACGTCATTTATCTTATTAAGAATATTTTTTTGTTTCAAATTTCGTAATTTTATGAAAAGGAATTTCTTATTTTCAGGTTGGGTGTAATCCACGGTGCACATCAGTGGTGAAAGAAAGCGACGGTGCTCGTCAAGTGAAGACGACACCATGGAGCCGTCAAACAAGAAACAACAACATCAACACAAGCAAGATTTAGGAACATCAACCAAGAAGAAGAAGGACAGAGAAAATAGTATGTTTTATTTTACCACTTCGGGCCTGTACAGTACTGTACTGTACAGTACTGTACTGTACAGTGCTGTACTGTACTGTACAGCACAGCACAGTACAGTACAGCACAGTACAGCACTGTACTGTACAGTACTGTATAGTACAGCACAGTACAGCACTGAACTTTATTGTACTGTACAGTACAGTACAGTATTGCACAGTACAGTACTGTATAGTACAGTACTTTACAGTACAGTACAGCACAGTACAGCACTGTACTGTACTGTACTGTACTGTACAGTACTGTACACTACAGAACAGCACTGTAGTGTACAGTACTGTACAGTATAGCACAGCACAGCACTGTACAGTACAGCACAGTTCAGTACAGCACTGTACAGTACTGTTCAGTACAGCACTGTACAGTTCAGTACTGTACAGTACAGTTTAGTATGGTATTGTACAGTAGAGTACTGTACAGTACAGTTCAGTACAGTTCAGCACAGCACAGTACAGTTCAATACAGTTCAGCACAGTTCAGCACAGCACAGTACAGTTCAGTACAGTTCAGCACAGTACAGCACAGTTCAGTACATTTCAGTACTGTACAGTACTGTATAGTTCAGCACAGTACAGTTCAGTACAGTACTGTACAGTACTGTATAGTTCAGTACAGTTCAGTACAGTACTGTATAGTTCAGTACAGTTCAGTACAGTACAGTACAGTACAGTTTAGCACAGTACAGCACAGTTCAGTACAGTTCAGTGCAGCACAGTTCAGTACAGTTCAGTTCAGTACAGCACAGTTCAGCACAGTTCGGTACAGTACAGTTCAGTACAGTACTGTATAGTTCAGTACAGTTCAGTACAGTACAGTACAGCACTGTTCAGTACAGTTCAGTTCATTACAGTTCAGCACAGTACAGCACAGTACAGCACAGTTCAGTTCAGTACAGTACAGGCGGCCAGCCAGACAACTACCCGGTATGCCATCTGCGCAATTTTATGATCATGCTATAGATTGTGAGGTCATATACACTACAGGGGTAATGACAGTTTAATGATACATAATGGCAGTTTATTGAATATACTCTACACACAATGACACTAATTAAAACCTTAATTTTAAGATAAAAAGTTAAAACTTTTACTTCAAGATTAATTTTACTTCAAAGTTATATTTTATTGACAATAAAACCATGTTTGATGACATTTTAAAATCCTTCAAAGTCTACTGGCTGTTCATCGTCTAACATAAAGAGGTCTGCATATGGGTCCCAATCACTGGAACTTCCAACATTGTCTTCATTATATTTGCTGTCATCCTCCTCCTCGTCACTGTCTCGCTACAACAAATCATCTTCTTCCCCATCCATTGCATCTGAAATTCCACATTTTTGGAACGATTTTATGACAGTTTCTACACGAACAGCTTCCCAAGACTTTATTACAAATTCACACAACACATCCAGTGGTGGAGCACGCATATTACCCCCCTGTGTGAATGACTTTTCTCCCTCAACCATCCACTTATTCCATTCAGAAGGAATATTGTCCTTAAATGGCTTATTTAGGCTTACATCAAATGGTTGAAGCACAGACGTTAAACCCCCTTGTATTACTGCAGTTATAATGTTGTTTTGTTGTAGATGCTTCTTGACCTTATCTGTTAAATGGGCTCTGAACATGTCCCAAACCAACTAGCTCCTTTCCTTGATTAATCCACCAGGCCGCCTACTCCACACATTGTCAATCCATAAATGTACTCCAGCTTCGTCCATCCGCCCCTTCTCTTGGCCATGGACCAAAACACCTGTAGGGAACTTTATATTTGGCATTGTTTTTCTTTTAAATATAACCATTAGTTAATTTAGTTCCATCTGCAAGGCAGGTTAATACGACAGTGAACTTCGTCTTTTCGTGACCTGTACTTTTTATTGGAATAGTTTTTTTGCCTTTGGTGTCAACAGTTTTATTGCTGAGCATATAAAAAAACCGAGGTGTTTCATCCATATTACCAATCTGGCACTGTGGGTAGTTGTTCCTTCCTCAGTCCAATGACACATCTATGGAAATTTATAATTTTGTCTTCGAGGTCAGCTGGGAGTTTCTGTGCAATTTTAGTTTTCTGCCGCAAAACCAAATTTGTCCTCTTCATGAAGCGACTACACCAGTTTGCAGTTGCTTTAAAATATTTACTTTCATCTGGGTGTGTTTTGGGCCACCGGGTGCGTAGGTCAGTTGGGGTTACTGTATAGCCATCTTAACGGTTTTAGTTGACCCAACCTTCTAAATAATTTTCCAGTTCATGCCATTGACAGATGCCGGTCCTTACGGCACATTTTTTCTTGGGTATCTTCTTCGGGGAGGCTTCACTTTTCTTTCAATCACGCACTATCTTTTCATTTACTCCATAATTCCTCGCTGCAGCACTGTTGTTTGAAGAGTTTGCAAACGCAACAACTTTCAGCTTGAAACTTGCGTCATATTTCATCCTTTGTGCTGGGGGAGCCGTGGGGATAAGATATTTTCAACTGTTGTCAGGTTGGTGTGTAGGTAATGAGTGGATGCCAGCAAGAGCATAAAGCTGCAATGGTTTAGTAAATTGCCATGTAGGCTTGTTCATTGTATCCTCCAAACACTGAACAAGCCTCTGTGCACTGGTATTGCCAACCCGCCGTCATCTCGAAATCATTTAATCCAAATCCGAACCGATCGTTCACACACACCAACAATTCTTGATATTTTCTTTACTGGTTTCTTGCCCTTATGCGGACTAATAATTGATGCTATCTGCTCTTTTGTTAAATCTTTCCTCTTGCCCATTGTGGTAAAAAAAGCAAAGAAACAATCGGCGTTGTGGCAATAAATAGGGACAATGTCGGGGGTAAAACTCATAAATCTTCATTCACAAAATTTACGCGGGCAACTGGTGAACGTTTTGATTGCTGACTGACTCGTCCTCGAGACTCCCTTCGTTGCCAGACTTAAAATGCTTGCCTCGGCCGGCTGGCGTGGAGGGGCGTGAGACACCTCAGCAAAGATCACTTCCCGTTGTCCACCTTGCACATAATACAATGGCGAGGATTGTAGATAGTAGTTTATTAATTTCTTTGATATGCTAGGCAGTAAATTAGAGTACCGGTAGTTGTGTACTATTTATCATGAATTAGGTAGGTTTTTTCCTTGTTTTGAACTGATTTTGTGTTTTGGGGGTCTTTTGGACTCTGGGGAACTGTATCCTATTTTTTCCCATATGTTTTTCCATTCTGTACAAAAATTCACCTAATTTTTTTTTTTTTTTTTTTACATAACCCATTGGTATCTCGACGGATACCTGTATTCACATATTTTTATATTTATTTGTTTATTTTATTATTTTTTATTATTGTTTATTTTTGTTTTTAATATTTTTATTTATTTATTTATTTTTTCCAGGAAACTCCGTATCAAATGATTTGGCCCATGACTGGATGCAAAAGAACGAATTTGTGATAGTGTCGGTGTGGGTTGGGCAAGGCCATGACAATCGGACTGTCAACATCAACACAGATGAAACTGAGCTTACAGTATCCCTGCCAGATGGCCGAAAGTTTTCCACTCAACTATTTGAAACTGTGTTGCCAGAAGCAACTTCTATGTCATACAAAGGAGCTCGATGCATTGTTAAACTTCTGAAGAGCGACCCAAATATCCATTGGCCACATTTAGAGGTAAAGTTTTAACTTAATACAAAGGTAAATTAATGAATTGAAGAGATATATATGTCCATCTGTTAAGACTTCTCAGTTCAATATTTATTATCATGATAAATTAATATTTATTTAATTTTCCTGTAGCCTGCCAAAAAGCCCACTCCAGAGAAAATAATATCAACCAAAGCTAAGAGTTCTTCCCTGTCACCGGGCAAAACCCCAGAGAAGAAACCTGCCGAGGTGGACAACAAAGTGGATAACAATACTGTGTGTGTGTCCAATGTTAAGATAGATTATATGGAAAGAGATGCAGAGAGTCTCATAGTGGTGTTCCTCTACATAAAAAATATAAACAAGGAGACGTCTTTTGTCACTTTCACAGAAGATTCTATATCGGCGAGCTTTTCAACGAGGTACGTGCTGACATGGGGTTCATTGTTTACACGGGGTACACTGTATTGTACTTTTGTGTTGACAAATTATCATGGAATTTGTATCTTTTTCACTCCCAGTATATACTAATGTTGAAACAGTTAATTGTGTAAGTATTAGATTTTTTAACCGAGGGTAATAAAGGTACAGATTAAGGTGGTGTAAATCATTCTTCTCGTGTGAACCATTAATATATACAGGTTGACAACCCTTTATCCGAAATTCCGAAAACCGAAAAGCTCTGAAAACTGTAAGATTTTTTTTTTTTTTTTTCTTCCAAACGGGGATTAGCCCACCCGGGCATAGATCACTGAACCACATCGAGGCCTGGGGGGCGAAAATGTACTAGTAATAATAATTATAATAATAATAATAATAATAATAATAATAATAATAATTATTCATAGTAAATAAAAATTTTAATAAAAATACACCAAAATAAAATAATAATGATATCAATAATAATAATAATAATAATAAAATATGATAATAAAATTAATAATAATAATATTAATAATAACAATAATATTGTAATAAAATAATAATAATAAAGAAATACAAGAATGAAAAAAAGATAAAAAGTGAGTAACACAACCTAGACTTATGAATTATTATTACCTGTATTATTATTATCATTTTTATTATATTCCCCCCAGTCCCCGATGTGGGTCAGTGATCTATACCCGGGTGGGCTAATACTGTACACCTTTAAAAAAAAACAACCATTCTGAAAACCGAAAAATTCCGAAATGCCTCTGGCCCCAAGGATTTCGGATAAGGGATTGTCAACCTGTACCATACATAAGATTAATTCATCCCTGTATTAGGTACTGCTGTCACAGTGTACGGGAGGGGGGGTTCTAGCTCTGTGTTCCTCTTGGGAGAGTGTTGCTGATGTTATTAGTCTCCCCTTCTAACATAATGCATGACACACACACACACCACGCCACAGTGATGTTTCAATTGCTCCATTTTGTTGAAGTTACTTTGGCTTCTGCTGTGAAGATTTGGCTGCTTCCTTCATACAACTTATCATTTTATCACTACAATATCACCACACTTTTTTTTCACTTCTGTTCACCAATACTCATGACTTTATTCCCTCTGATTGTCTGCCCTTTCTTTTCTCCAATATCCTTCATCTTCTATTTTGCACAAAACAAGGACATCTAAGTTCCTTTCACTCATCACCTTATCACTCTTTTTGTCTTAATTCTTAATATATACTGTACATAAATTTTCAGAAGCATTTGTTTGTTTTAAGTAACTGAATACAAGAAAATAGGGATGCTCGCCCCTCTTCCCCAGACTACAGAAGGTGCATTAAACCAGCTCCCATACCCCAAACTATTCAGTTGTGTTTTAGAATGTTAAACTTCCCATCCAATTGTGTGAATAGTACTGCATGGTTTCTGTAATTTACATTATCATTTTAATGTGCTGTATGTTTTTTACAGTGATGGTCGGTTTCTTCAACAATATTCAGGCAGTACAGAAGATACTGTGTTTGAATGGGACTTAACTCTCAAAGACAAGGTTGTGCTAGAAGACTGTAAATTCAAAGTCAATCCAAATAACATAGAAATTAAGTTAAAGAAGCAAAACAATAAAAAATGGGGTGCTCTAACTGCTGTCACACCAGACTCTGGTAAGAATTTATCTCATATTATTTTTGGTGTTTTTGGTTGCTGAAAGTATATTTTATTAACTCAGTAAAGTAATAAGTGTCTTTCATGGTTAATGCTTGTGGATATCATAGTACATTACTGTATAGATCTTCCTCTTGTTACATAATTTTTTCAGTTAACATAATAATTAGTGGAAAAATTATTTGTGCAAGTAAATTTCCTAATAAGAAAAATTTTCAAATGCCAATGTCATGCCTCATGCACATGGAGAATTGTTTTGTACTTTAACATATCTAACACTTCTATTTTTTGTTTTAATGGTTGCATCTCTCTTTGTCTCAGCTGCAAGCAATAAAGTGGCAAAAAATATGTGGATGGCAGCCAGTAAGACAGAAACTCCAACTCTGTCCAACATTCCTCCAGCTCCACCTATTCCACCATCTATGGAGAACAAGGTACTGTACTCTACCATGTATACCAGCACTGTATAGAGATCCACAAAACTGATTGATTATGATATGATTCCTTGTGTCAATTAATGTCTGTATGTTTCATTCTGTTTATTTAAGGTTATATGAGAACTGTGTAGATGTGGTCCCATTCTCACCATTATAATGAGGGTCTCTGTAGATGTGGTCCCATTCTCACCATTATAATGAGGGTCTCTGTAGATGTGGTCCCATTCTCACCATTATACTGAGGGTCTCTGTAAATGTGGTCCCATTCTCACCATTATAATGAGGGTCTCTAAATGTGGTCCCATTCTCACCATTATAATGAGGGTCTGGTTCACCATCATCATCCTAATTTTATGTATTTTGCACTTTGCACAATGTTGTACATGTAATAATATTGAATATACATATTTTGTATACAGCTCCTCCCCGACTTACGACCTACTCGACTTATGACCACCCACACTTACGACCTACTCGACTTACGTCCACCCGCACTTACGACCTGCCTCAGTTGTAAAAAAATTTGGTCAAATTATGTATTTTTGAGTCCCACAGTCAGTACACAAGACAAAATTTTTGTTTGTAATTCACTTTAAAATGGCTGGCAAGCTTATTTTTTCCCCCGCTTGTATGGACCTGAGCAATTTTTATTTCCAGCGCGTATGAACTGCAAGGTTTACAAATTAATTAAGTTCAGTGGGACAATTCACACGGGACACACGTGGGTGTTGCTTACCTCACACCTGTACTTCCAAACCACAAGATGAAAAAGTACACCAAGAATTTTAGAATTCTTCATATGGCAATGTTAAATGTTCGTTTAAATGTTTGCACTCATTTAAAAACCATACACACACACACACACACACACACACACACACGTACACACACACACACACACACACTACTCTTTTGTATTGTTTTCATGTCATTGTAGTTATTTTGTTGCATTATATGGAGTGTACCTGTATATGGAAAAATATGTTCGATAAATTAAGAAATATGAAGAGAGAGAGAGAGAGAGTGTGTGTGTGTGTGTGTGTGTGCGCGTGTGCGTGTGTGTGTGTGTGGACTAGGCAGGTTGCCAAGTGAGATGTCCCTGTAGCTACATCCACCTACCTCAACTACCAGGTGAAGCTGTGTTTCTGTTATTTTTCAACTGGTAATTTCTAGTAGATGTATTTAATCTTGATGTTTTTTACTTTGTTACAGGCACACACAATTATTCATACAGAATGTGCAAAAAAAAAAAATTAAAAGAAATGTTTATCATAAGGTCAAAAACATAAAATACAGTAAACATTTCTTACATGGGAGATCGGAGTAGTGTTGGAGATCTGAGCCATATGTAGTGAAACTATTGCCAACTGGCAATGTGATATTTTTGTCTTATATTTTATTTATTAGTATAATTTTTATTTATTCCTCACATTTACTAATACTACAGTATACACGTGACTCTGGTCCCTAATAGCCTTGGATAATGAAGAGTACTGTACTGTATATATATAAAAATATGTGGCAAAAGTTGCCAGCTGGAAACTCATCTCTCCCACCTCCCTATTTACACTAATTCATATGGGGAAAATTGCCCCGATATTTGCAAATTTGTTATTCACAATGAAGTTTAGGAACACATCCTCGTGATAACCGGGGTATTCCTACTGTAGTTTGTGGTGTGGTTTTGGTCCTTCAGCCCTAGTTTCTTTTTTCCCATTGGAATTACAGACGCTCCCCGGTTTACGGAAAGGTTCCGTTCCTGGATCCAATGTGTAAACCAAAAATGACTGTAATGTACCCTGTACTGATTCACAAGTGGCATCTCACAAGGGGATCCACTCAGCCACCTTACTCATAATCCTCCACAAATAGTGTTATGCCATACTAGTTACCTTCCATAATAACAGAAACTCGTGCACAACTGAAAATTTTTTTTATAATAGGACTTCTGGGAGTCATTCTGTATCCTCGAATTTCTGTAAACCGAGTTTTGTGTAACCCGGGGAGCGTCAGTACTGTAAGTGCCCCGATTACCAGACACCTCAGTAACGACATGAATCTTAGAAAATATTATTTAAAAAAAAAAAAGTCTTGATATCTTGCACGATATTGTTATTGTTGTGAAGCGACACAGCGGGGACCACATATTTTTGCCAGCCAAGTCCACATCACAACAATACAGATTAACGAAGGATTGGAACCTATTCCCTTTTACTCATTGTTAAATCAACCTACAATTCTACCGTAGCTTATGAGAAATACAGTAGTTATAATGTGAGTTTTATCAGGGCTGTGGAGTCGAAGACAAAACCTTCGACTCCGACTCCGACTCCTCAAATTTTTATGCTTCCGACTCCGACTCCTTGGCCTATTTGTAACAACTATTTCTACCATCCTAATTGTAATTTGTATGTTGTAACCTGCATAGGTAAAAAGTAAAACACCGTGGCTATACTGCTACAGCTTTATTAATGATCTGGACGATATTTAAGAACTACAAAAAGATGATAGGCTTGACTTTCAAAGTTTCAATCAAAAGAAAAATAAATTTATTAAGAATTCAAGATATTAACTAGAAAACACCATTTACATGTATATCTAAAAGTTCGATCTCAGCATATGAATTTTGTTTAAGCTCATAATCTGATGTGGATCTAAATGATGATCCTACAATTCCTTTTAAAGTAAAGTTATATATTTATGTACATTAAAGAAATGAATACCTTATTAAGGAAAATGGATAAACCTTACATGATTAAGTTATTAAATTAAATTTGCCTTAATCTCACCAAAAACAGGTTGTAGCTAATTGTTTTGTAGCTGAGAGCCTCTGTGCAGTTTTCAACGAAACAAAATTTGATATAATTCAAAATTTCAAATGGTAAAGAAGAGACTATCGTCCAAAATTATAGTGCTATACTGTGCCTGCTACAATAAATTCATAATAATGCTTATAAAATGGAAATAAATTCTTTTAATAATTTAAGAAAATTAGTGGGATCAGTGGAATCACTGCAATGAATATGCCTGAGTTCATATATTTGTTCTTAGGAACAGAATAGCTTCAGTCGGAGTCGGAGTCTGGACAATTTTACCGACTCCGACTCCACAAGCCGAAATTTCCTCCGACTCCTCGACTCCGACTCCGAATCCACAGCCCTGAGTTTTATGGTCCGTAATGCTGTACACATTTGCAAGCAACTCTATTGTGTGTGGGATTATATAATTAGTTGTAACAGTTTACAGTATATGTAAGGATTACTTTTTATCCACAGAAACCAATGTGCCTGGTTTCACCTGTCAGTAAAGGAATGAGAGGCGGCCCTTCCTCCTCTTCGTCATCAATGTGTGATGGGGGAAGTGTTGTTCCTCGTGGAACTACTGGTTTAGACAACATAGGCAACACCTGCTTCATGAATAGTGTTCTCCAGTGCCTAGTCAACACTCAAGAACTCAGGGAATATTTCTTAGGTATGTCTTAATGTTCTCTGTGTTCTAACCCTTTAGATGCCTACTTTTTTATCAAGACAACACCTTTAATTTTTTTGTATACCATTAAAATTTCTTAAGAATTATATCTGAGAGAAGGTGTGAACAACATATGGGAGAATGGGGTAATGAAAATAGAATTATTTTGGGACTCCTCATTTTTTGCTCCAGAAATGACTCTAGCCCTAGAAGCAAACCTTTTTCTTTATACAGTATTGTGTAACTAAAATATACTATTCTTTTACACTCAACTTTAGGTGAATTTTGATGAAATATTTTTTTGCCATGTCATTTGATTTCAGTTAAAACAAACAAAAAAGTATTCACTCGTTTTATATTTGTACTATGGTGTAAGAAAAATATAGGGAGAACAAATTAATTGTCCACATTTCAATATTCACTCTGCTGTCAACTTGTAACAAAACATCTTTAATGTCGTGTACTATTATCATGATGTATCTGTATTTATATAACATTGAAACCAAAGTAAAGATGAGGAGCAATAGAAAAATGCATCACAGCGTGGGTGGTGAAGGTCATTGATGTATAGTAACAATTATGGAATCTGTTATCAACCAGGCAGGAGAGGGAGTGTCGAGGAGCAAACTGGCACATTTTATGAGAGACAAACACCACGTTCATTATTACGGTACACTTACCCCAAAAAAACGTATGTTTATGGTGAGTGAACACATTATTACACTATTTATTCAACTAGTTAAGTACAACTTTTAACATCATCCAGGCATCAGCTGGTGAGGGAGCAGAAGAAAGGTTATCATCTTGCACTCAGACCAACTGTATCTACATTATTGAAAGGAGTAAAATGGAGATGGTTGCTCATGTCTACCATCTCAATTTATCAACTATTTTCTTTCACCATTTACAGTACAGCTACATCATAATAATGCTCATTTTTAAATGCTTTAGCAATGACCACATGCAGTAAGAAAGTTTTTTTGTTTCTGTGGCCTGCCACCACCCCACACACACCATACACACACACACACACACACACACACCATACACACACACACACACCATACACACACACACACACACACACACACACACACACACATACACACACACACACCACATATACACACACACACACACACACATATACACACACACACACACACACACACACACACACACACACACACACACACACACACACACACACACACACTTTTACTTGCAGATTTTTACTCACGGCATTTTATCTAAAATGTAAATAAAAAAAATAATAATAATTTGCCACATATTACATGAGGAGATGCTGAACAGTGGTGGAGGCAAGTCAAGAAGAGACTGACAACTTGAACCTATCAAGCAGGTGATGGGTTAAAGTTACTGGCACTATGACAGGATAGAGGGGAGGGTAGTTAGTGACCAGACAAGCTCGCCCATCATGCCATTCACAGCAACAACATTACTGTATCGGCAATCTCTTGTCATGTCTGGGGATGATGACTTGGCTTGACCTGGTTGGAGAAACATGCAGGATATAGACCAGATAAACAGCAACTTGGCACTGTTGCCACTGCTGGGCAGCACCGTACAGTACACTATTGGGACTGGCCCATACTATATCATTATGAGATGTACATAAACTCTATAATAAAACAGGACAGAATGAGGTATTAATAGTTTTCTTAAGAGGAAATATTATGGTGTTTAATTTACATAGGTTCATACTGCCTGTCCACTACCTATACTCTACATTAAATATTGTATAGGTTCGTACTACAGAGTCTTAATATGTGGCTGGTTTGTATTGAAAATGCTGTAGTACTTAATGAAATATATTAATAATGCTCTAATGAAATGTGCTTATGGGAAATACTTGGGTGTTTTACCTGGTATGGCTATACCCACCACCAGCTATACCTACATGGGCTACTGTAAGCTGGTGTGGCTATACCTACATGGGCTACTGTAAGCTGGTGTGTCTATACCTACATGGGCTACTGTAAGCTGGTGTGGCTATACCTACATGGGCTACTGTAAGCTGGTGTGGCTATACCTACATGGGCTACTGTAAGCTGGTGTGGCTATACCTACATGGGCTACTGTAAGCTGGTGTGTCTATACCTACATGGGCTACTGTAAGCTGGTGTGGCTATACCTACATGGGCTACTGTCAAAGATGAACAAACGTTTCATCTTACATTATGGGTTTGTATTGAAAATAATGGTTTACCAAATGATGTAATAGTTCTTTGAGTAATATTAATGTGCTTAACAGTTTAGCACTTGAATAACATTAGCGTGTTGTTTGACGCTTCGTCCGGTAAACATTGTCAGCCGCCACCTGGAGTCTGGCCAATAGTGTCATTGAGAGAGTTTACAATATTTATATTTTATTTGGCTGCAGTTGAACAGCATGTCCAAAGGGTTAATATATTTCTTCAAGTTGATTTGTTTGTGTTGGTGTTGTATGTAAAATTGTAACAGTACAGTAGTATCTTGTATGACAGTATAGTTACAGTTAATGCCAAGTCAGTTTTGTATGTTGAGGTAAAAAACTTCTTTTTTTTTGTATTAAGATGTGTTTCATGTTATGAGAACAGAAAGACCAGTTTACTACATTACTTGTTTATACATGATGTTAAGTTAAGGTTCATAAGTTTGGCAAACAATGGTGCTACTTTACAGTTTTGATACACTTCAGAAGGGTAATTGCTTAGTAAATAATACAGTACAGTATTTGCCACTAACTAATTGGCTCTCTTGTACTTTCAGATTTTAATTTCCAGCAGGACATTAACAAGGACAACCCTCTGGGCATGGGGGGTAAGTTAGCTGTATCCTTTGCCATTCTCATGAAGCTGCTGTGGTCTGTCACTATATCCTCCCATGCACCTACAAAGCTCAAGTCTATGATGTCCATGAAGGCTAACCAGTTTTCTGGTTTTGCCCAACATGATGCTCAAGAATTTATGGTGGAGCTCCTGGATGGTTTACATGAGGTAAGTTAGTTAGTTGTCCTGCACTAGTCATATGCAAATGAGAAAGTGTAGAGAATTTGCTGATTAGTTGATTTGCATAATTTGGTAAGTAACTTTATTATGAAACACATTAATGCATTATGCAGTATATATGCATAAGACTTAATGATCAGTAGAAACTTGTGAAGTTCAGAAATAATTCATTACAATTATCCAGGTTATTTAATATGAGAAGGGTTAGCATTCATGACAGGCTATACTGTACTATAGTATTTAGGTGAAAAATGACTTGTGTATACACTCTGCTATTGCACGTGGCTAATTTTTATAATCGTCAGGATTTGAATCGCATCAAGAGGAAACCATACATGGCAGAGCCTCCTGATCTTGATGGCTGGCCAGACAAGAAGGCAGCAGATGAATCGTGGAAACTACACAAGATGCGGAACGACTCGATAATTGACGACCTCTTTAAAGGCCAGTTCAAGTCTACCCTAACATGCCACGAGTGTAACAAAGTATCTGTCAAATTTGACGAGTTCTGCTGTCTCTCCGTACCTATACCAAAAGACCAAAAGGTAGGTTGTACAGTATTGGGTGTTTGGGACTTGGCTAATTCTGGTTCTTGGAAGAGAGCCTTTATTTAAAGTTGATGATGTCTGTTTGGTGTCTCAAAAAATCCATCCTTCCATTTATTTCCACGAAAAGGAATGTTTGCCAACAATTTTCCCCTATAGAGATCAACTAATAAATAATTTTTAAAAATACTGTATCTTAATGGTACATTCACAAAAGTGATTCTGATGATGAGTTGTTTGTAGACACAAAAATGTGGGATAAGGACTCCTGGAGCTTAAGAACAAATTGATGTAGACCATCATGTTGGTGTTGGTGTAAATATACTATACTGTAGTCAAAGGAAAACTCCTGAATGGGGGATAAGACACTTTCCCTGTAATGCTTAAGTAGGTCAAATGAACTCATTAGATCCAGTTGTAGAATTGTAATATAAAATTCCAGGAGAAATTGCAAATCCATGACTGGACATATTATTTATTTGTCTCATCACTGGTGGGTTAAGAGGGTAGTGGGTGTAGAGGGTGGATGGTGGTGGGTGGAGAGGGTGGAGAGTGAAGAAGGTGGTGGGTGAAGAGGATCAGCTGTATCATGATTGATGTAACAGTTGAACAAGGTATTTGTTTATGGAGCAGAGGGTATCAAGACAACTGCCCCCATAGGACAATTGCCCCCTTGGACAGTTGCCCCCCATTGTCCAACCTGACCTGACTTACTGCGTTCATTTTAACCTACCAGTTTAGGGATTATCCTTACCTGACTTACTTTGGTAAAACCTGGCAGTTTGGGGAGTAACAATGACCAGTTTGAGTTCAGTGCTTGAACTGTTCACAGTGCATCTATAATTCTCCAGGTATATTATTATTTTTCGTATCACCTTATCATGGAGTTCGTCCAAAGTGAACGTGGTAAAACGAAGCTTATTTATGATGGCTACATCTATGTGAAGCAGAAAGAACTGGTAAAGGGTGTTATATTTTATGAATGTGAGAAATGTCGGCATAGAAACTGTAAAGCCAAAGTTAAAGTTTGTGGAAATGAAGTAGTTGGCCATGTAAATGACCACAGAAGTAGTCTGTCAGGTAGGAAATCAAAAGGAAAGCTATTAACACCCAAGAGACCGCACAGCAAATTATTACCCAAACAGTTCAGACCATATCAGAAGGTGCCTCAACACAACTACCACCTGTAAGACATATTCGATGTGCAATAAGACGCTACAAACAAGCTGTTGATGTCCTTCATCTCCCATTCCATCAAACCTCACTGACTTGGTCATTCCATCTGAGTATAAGATGACGGCTGATGGTGAAGATTTTCTGTTGTATGATAGTGAACCGAGTGATTAGCATACGCTTGTGTTTTCCACAGCCAAAAACCTGAGGCTACTTGAGAATTCAAGTGATTGGTTTGTTGATGGAACATTTAAAGTTGTACCTGAACTGTTTTACCAACTGTACACTATTCATTCAAAAAGAGTAATTCCTTGTGTTTATGCTCTGCTATCAAACACCGAGCAACATATCAAGATCTTTTCCATCAATTCCTCGCCGTCAACCCTACAGTATGCTCAATCCAAAGACCTTTCTCATCGACTATGAACAAGCTGCCAGGAGTGCCATTGAAGAGGTCTTCCCCAACGCAACAGTCAAGGGATGTTTCTCCCACTTATTGCAAAACATATATCGCAAGGTGCAATCTGAGGGATTGCAAGGAAAATATGACTGATCCACCATTTTTCACTTAACCACAATTTTTATCAATATTTTTCTATTTATGGAATTGGAGTGTTGTATGCGTTGTGCTACAAACATAGCAGTTTACACCCAGGTAATGGGGGGCAGTTGTCCTAGAACCGAAGCAGATAAATATGAAGGTTATTGTGTTTAAGAACAGGAAGGGTTAGAATCACATTGACAGTAGTTCTTTGATACTAATTTACAACTGTGCATCCGAGTGATAATCCCCCAATTTTTACCATTGGTTTCCATTCTTGTATGGGTTGTCTGGCCTGGTGAACAGCTAAACTGCACTAATTGTGGCTTCTTATTGTTTTATGCTCCAAACTTTCATGCCAATATTTTATTAATATACAGTATTGTACTGTACTATAATAATGTTTTGTGTCTGTCTGCAGGTAATTCAGGTGATTTTTTTTTGGAAAGATCCTTACCAAAAACCTAAGAAATTTTTCATTCGCGTGCCTGCTAATGCTGCAATTGAAGAGCTGAAGCAAGAACTGTATGAACGAACTGGTGTTCAAGCATCTTTAATACAGGTACAGTAGTATTGTATTTTGAGGGATGGTCTGCGAGAGTTTGTACTATTGTTAATACATTATATCCTTGTTAATTCGACAAAGGGGGACTCTGGGTCACTTGAATTTTTGAAGGATCAGAATTAATTAAGTTTGGAATATTTTTACATTCTTCGACAATTTCCGAATTTTGGGGTTTCATTTTCTGTTAAATTTTTGCGCCTTGCCTTGGCTGCCACATAAAAAAATCTATTTATAATTAGTGTACAAACATAAATAGTTTTTAAATATGCATACAGTAATAAATCAATGTGACACTGCAAGGAGAGCTGACAAAACGAGGGGTTAGGTGAGAGGTTTGGCGATAAGGCAGGGAGTGTGGTGACGTGACAGGGCACTTAAACAGTTCACATGCTAACAGCACACGTAAACCATTGTCTTCTAACACATTAATTTCTTATTTCTATTTTAAAATTAATTGATACATAATGGCTCGATTTGGCTACTTTTGCACTTAGACAATTGATCAGTGATTATATCAGGGCATATGGAGATGCATTATACACGGCAGTAATATTGATTAAGTTTTGATAAATATGCTCCAATACTATTTACTAAGTGCTCAAGACAGATCCCTCTTGAGCAGTGACAGCAGAGGTGCATGAGTACTGGCAACAATGTTTGGGAAAGCAGGAACGATCAGCTGTTACCTCTATAAACATGAGATTGGACTGTTACTATACTATTGCACAATAGCTCATCTGGAATTGAGTGGCATTTTTGGGGGAAAATTAATTATTTTTTGATAATGTTTTATCAACCCGACACCAAATGAAACCTAAATTAAATGGGAATTATGGTGAAATAGCATTCTGTCATTAAAACAGCAACGCGGGCTGATGAACAAGAGAGGTAGTGAGTTGTCCTCTCCCTCCTCCTCCTCTGCCACCTCTCACTGGCTTTGCACTGAAATGTAGTTTTGTACAGTATCTTAATATAATTCATATTATATGCCTATAATTCATTCATCTTAATTGATTTCATAATATATTCCGCCAAAAATAATCGACTTTTCAGAACTACACGGTTATTTCAGATTCATTCCGAATTGAAATCGTTTAATTTATTTTATAGAAAACATACGAATGAAGCCAAAATCTGAGTTATAACTATCTGAGTTAACGACGGTACAGTGTACAGGTATTGTCTGTTTGAGGGATAATATATGCATGTTTGAGTGTCTTAACCCTTCAATGATTTAACCATTTGAGGACAATTGTTTAACCCTTAGAGGAGGAGGATGTAACCCTTCAGTACTCAAAGGGTTAATGTAGGTATTGTGTGTTGAGGGATAATCTGTGTGTGTTTGAGTGTGTTAATGTAGGTATTGTGTGTTGAGGGATAATCTGTGTGTGTTTGAGTGTGTTAATGTAGGTATTGTATGTTGAGGGATAATCTGTGTTATACCTGGTAATAGTAAATGAAGTTTGGGTAAAGATTTTAAAATTTTGTTATGGGGTGGTTGTTGACATGCCATGTTATTAGATATATGGTTTGTGAGAAAGTTGACAGTACTGTACAGTATAATATGACCTTCTGTGATAACGAGTACACAGATGGTTAGAAAAGCAAATTTTAACTCGAGATGAAAAAGTTTCACTTGTATTGATTGTGTTCTCATCCACAGGTGTTTGAAAAGTATAAAACAAAAATCCACAAAATATTCACCAAGGGATCAACACTTTCATCAGTTGTCCCCAGTGATACTCTTATGGCCTTTGAAGTTTACAACCCACAGCAGGTACGTAGGTGATTTAAAGCATAGAGAGAGTAATGTTTCACGATAAGTAATTTAAACTTCTGTCAATATTTAAAGTATTTATTTACTACTAGCTTTACTTTTAACTTACTTGCTAGAACTTTGGGTGAACCTACTACAAGGACAGTACATCTGTCTCTTGATACTTTTGTGTGAGCTTTACATACACGTTCAAACTATCTTACTTATTTTTTGAAATTTGGTTTCCTTGGCAATTAAAAATAGTCTTTTAACTAACCATTTAATACAAAAGGTGGCACACATGGTTGTGGTGATTTAAGTCGTATTGCTCCATAGATGACCTTGGTAACCGATGACCGATTAAAACTAATTTTATTAGGTTATTATAAATCTTAAGTGTAAAAATGGAAAACTAATGTCATAAGGCTCCTTGCTTTTTTTATTATTATTATTTATTTATTTTTTATTTATTTATTTTTATTTTTTGTATAAGAAATGAAAAATGTTCTTGGTCATTACTTTCCTTCTTATGCTGTTGAGTATCACTAACCTAATTACTCATTTTAAGTTCCTTGGTCATTCTCACTCATTACATCTTCATTCCACTTTGTCATTCCTCCACAGTGTCCACACATATCCCCCCTCATGTCTGTTATTTACTCTATATTTATGTACCTTGTTCAGCTGCCTCGACAACATATACAGTAATATCTCCGTTAGCCGGAATCCCTCAAACCCGGAACTCTCCAATAGCCGGAATTGAAATTTGCTCTGAAAATCATTCCCAAAGCTGGAATTAAAAAAAATCCGGCTTTGGGAACAAATTTTCCGAGGTAGAAAATCGAGAGCATTTTCTGAAAATGTCTTGAATAAAGACGAAAGCTAAAGTATTTTGGGGAGGAACCAGACCTGACTCAATGTCAGGTGGAGGTAGGGTGGGGGATTAGTGGTCTCATATTACTGACAATCAGATGGAATGTCAGGTCACCCTTTCTTGGGGAGGGGATTAGTGTCTCATGACCTGAGGATGCCTTGAATAAACATAAAACCTAAAGTATATTTAGGGAGATTGTGATAAGTATAAGTGAGCTAAGTTGTATCCCTTCAACATGACATTACATACCATTTTAAAATATGAAGTGAGAAAGCAGAAGGTGTGGGTGATTAGAGAGATGGAGTGGAAAGGAGTGGTAACATGCACCAGTGTTGCCAAGTGATAAGCTCCTCAACAGCTGATCTTTTAATTCGCCTCCATGCAGTCACACAACAAGACCCTCACTGGATGCTTGTTGTCTTAATTCCTGTGTGTGTGTGGGGGAGGTTGGTGTGTTGATGGAAGCAAACCTTTTTGGGGGTAAGGTCGCACGCGCGCACACACACAACTCCGGCAAGGGAATTAAGACCCATCTGCATGTGTGTGACTGCATGGTAGTGAGTTAAATATCAGCTGTTAAGGAGCACTTGGCAACACTCCTTTCCACTCCATCTTTCTTATTATCCACACCTTTCTGCTCTCTCACTCCATATGTTAAAATGTTATGTAATGTAATGTTGAAGGGATACAACTTTGCTCATTTACACTTATATCTGTACTTACCACAATCTCTCTAAAAATACTTTAGGTTTTGTGTTTATTCAAGACATTTTCAGGTCATGAGACCCACTAATCCCCTCCCCAAGAAAGGGCGACCTGACATTGCATCAGGTTAGGTCAGTTACACGAGACCCACTAATCCCCCACAGCTGTAACACACAGCATCATTCACGCCCATATCCTCTAGATTTATAATTTTTAAATATATTTATTTAGCCCAACTTTTAGATCAACTATTTTGGATTATTATAGTAAAGAAATTGAAGTTTCTAACTTAATTAGAACTGTATTTATGGATTCCAGTAGTTTAGACTCGAGGAAAACATCTCCAGCACCCAGAAATGTTCTGGGGAAGTGGGCTAGTGTCTGTCTGTGCAAGAGGTCTAGTTTAGACACTCACAAACTTTTCCCAGTAACCGGAAAAGGTTCTGGGGATAAGGAATTTTTCCCGGTTTGAGCGAGTCGTCTTGTTACCCGGAAATCTCTCATCCCCAGAAGTGCTCTGCACCAATTGTTCCGGCTAATGGGGATATCACGTACAGTATGTCTGATAGCCCTGGACTAAGCACCTCAAAAGGAGCCTCTAAGAAGAAAGCTGTCAAGTCAATAGGCAAATACAAGAGCTTAAACTTCCAAGATAATGTTTAAATTTTGATTGGGGCAGAGAACAGAAAAGGATTTTTGTTTTTTAATTTCTTCTTCTTCTCCCTCTTTACCTCAGGAGATAGCAACCTTTATATTTCATATGAACGGGTTCCGTTCCTGAGGACGTTCTTAAGTCGGATTTGTACTTAAATCAGAACACATGCTATGTGCATACCATACTTACAGAACAATGTTTAACATCTCACTATATCAAAGCCTAAGTCCTTATATACATAAAAGATCACTTCATTTAAGACAAAAGAAGAAATAGAATGACAAAATACAGTACGTGAAAGTAAAAAATAATTCATAAGGTAAATAAAATAATGTAAATTTCAAGTTTAACCCGGTTTGTATGTCGGGGACCCCCTGTAATTCGTTAGGACTAGAGCCTCTACTGTTCCCAATTATGGGGGCTTACAATAATTTTGTTACAAACATCTTTCTACTTTTTATATACTGTATTTTCTTCTGGAATACTTCATCAGAACTATTTAAAAAAAAATAGAGGTGCATGGATTCGTAGTTATTTTTAAAGCTTGATACTTTTGTTTGAATTTATTTAGTAGTAGAATAATAATCTTTATGTAAATAAGAGATAAATATTGAATACCAGAGAAAATTCAACATTTAATTTTGGTTGACAGGTGGGTGAGTCAGTGGTAGAAGTGGCAGTGGTGCAGCGGATGATGATCCCAAGTCCTCCAACCCGCTGTGCCTACTGCTCCAGAAATGCTGCTTCGGGAACTAAGTTGCGTCGTTGTACCAAGTGTTTCCGTGCGGGATACTGCCACCGAGCCTGTCAAAAAAATCACTGGCCCAGCCACAAGGTAAGTGTCGTCACCTGCTCGTTTGCATAAGAATGGATGGATGGCTTGTGAACTTGAAGCAGGAAATTTCTTTATTGCAAATTTTTTCTCATGTGGAAAGCAAACTGTTAACAGTCCTGTCCAACATGTTATCGGACTCCTTGACACATTTCGAGCTAAAAATAAGGAAAAGTTCTCAGACTTAACTTGAATCTGTTCAAATAACACAGCATATCCACCCACTGTGTTAACATCTTAATGTTACCAATGATTTTACCACTTTTTACTCGAGTTAGCTAAGTGAACCTCACATCTACATTGCTAAATACCTATCACATGCACTGGATTTCCTTGTCATTCCAATTGTGGATATACATGTTTCACTAGCAGGTAGTGGTGTGGTTACACTCTGCTTTTAAAATTTTCTCACAAACTCTACGCATTCATACTTCAAACCTTTTAATGATTAAATTTTCAGGTTCACTGTAAATTAGTTCCTGAACCTGTGGGAAGTCCGTTCATCTTGTCTCTTCCTAGGAGCCATGCAACATACTCCCGCTTGGCTCGCATCATGGAAGCTTACGCACGATACTCGGTCGATATCTTCCAACCTCCTGTATTCCATAATTCTTCTCACCGAGGCAGCACATCTAGCGTAGAACTCTCTAGTGAAGAGAATGATGACATGGAGGTAATTATACAAGTTTAACAATTTCTGTGTATCATATATGTGCTTCTCATGCTGCCATGAACATGAGAAGCACATAAGTACAATTGTCACACTGAAGATAATTGCTGGCTCCTTAGTTACACTAAAGGTAATCCACTTTCATTTGATGTTGTATTGATTTAGAATCTTCGGGAGACTGACAAATTAGGTATGCAATATAAATTGGTATGAGGAATCATCACACAGTATTACACTATACCTTGAGAAATAGCAGCAATTAATTTCCTGTGTTACGTCAGGTGGGGTTGTTTATGGCTTTAACCTTGATAAAGACAGTCGTATTGCACTAGCCTCAATCTTTGCTCAGTGATGAAGTTGTTTCCAAACAACTCGGTGAACCAACGAGATAAATTAAGGAGCTGGGTTCTTAAATGATATTCTGGTTAAAATTACCTAAATCTGGTTCATGGGTAAATTACATGATTGAGTATATTTACTAATATTGTGCTGGATGCTTGAATATCTGATTTCAAAGCTTTCCTCGGCAAAATTCCTGTACTGTCCATGGCGCTAGATACATAGGGTTTAACTCCTTTATGTCGACTTAAAATTGTGCTTTGGAACCCGTAATTCCCAAGTGCTGGTACAGTATGATGTACTGTACTATATTGTAAAGATTGATGGTAGTCATTAATATTTTATGGTCGTTGACCTTCAAACATAGGTGTTAATGCGCTTAGTACAGTAGTTGGAAATATATAATATACTGGACTGGTAGTGTGAGACTAGTGATAATGTGATGTTTTGTAATGCAGGTTGAGGATGGTGAACCTGAGGGTAAGGGAGATACCAGCAACATATTGATGGCCGGAGAAAGTTCTCAAGGAGAAGCTCAGAGCAATTGGGCTGAGGAGGGTGCAGTTGGCAGTGATGGTGGCGGTTGTGACAGTGGCGGAGGCAGCGATGGCGGGGGAGGTAGCGGATGTGATGAGCCTCCACAATTGTCTACATCCCCTAGTATTCGAGCGGTTCAACCCCGAGGAAGTATGCAGTTGCCATCGGCAACACAGTTGTTTGTTATTCGGCCCGTGAACAACCGTGCCCAGAACTTGTCGGCACCAGCGGGCGAAACACTTGAAGACAAAGGTAAGGAAACTTCCAAATTGAAATTTGGTTCCGAAAGTTGGGAATGCTGTACAGCTGCTGTAACTACTTCACCCCTGAGCAGTTGCTTCAAGTATATAAGGGATTCATTTGTCCTAACTTGGAGTATTGCTCTCATATCTGGGGTGGCTCTTCTGTCCAACTGTTAGATAGGGTGGAATCAAAGGCGGATTTGGCATCCTGTGTACCGCCGGCAAGGCCGTGGGCTCGTAACACTCGTCTTGCCCGTGGTGCCCACCGTTTCTGTGTGGATGTCGGTCACACTAGGGAAAATTTTAAATTATATATGATGAATCGTGCACCATAAGAGGCTGATTGTGTGAGAATATAATAATGAGTCAATAATAAAAATATATCCAAAGTTGGAGCACTTGGCAACACCCTTACCTCCCACCTGGTCACATAGCTACTGTGTGCAATATTTTCCCTCCTATTGTTTGTGGTTCTCATTGGGTTTACAAGAAATCTATTACACCACTCTTACTCTATTCAGTGGAAGAAGTGGAACGAAGAACTGGAAGAGAGATATAATATTTAATATTTTGTGAAAATTAGATACTAAAACGAAAAGATTGCAAGTGGAGTTGATATGTACACTCACTACAGAAAGTATCTGTCCAGAATGGCCCGATGAATTTCAAAATGAGCAATATGACTCATATTGTGTTGGTAGGGTTGTCAAAATTCTTCATCTGTGATGGTATATTGCTTTCACACACAGTGTGGAAAGATACTTTTTTACTGTGTTTACTCCTCAGGACTAAAGTCATGGAGCCTACACTAGTGACCTCTGGCAATGAGGAAAACTTTTAACTGCATTAGGGGTACTGTACTTAACTGCATGTGATATTTAAAGTAAGGTAATTTTCTCTTTAATTTAATTTTTAAACTCATTAAACTTCTTATTTTACAGTGGTCCCTCGGTTAACGAGCGCCTCGGTTAACGAGATTTCGGTTAACGAGTTACCTTCCATAAGATTCTTAACTTCGGTTAACGAGCAATCCCTCGATTAACGAGTTTCTTAAGAGCCGACTTCCACGTTTTAGCTTGCATTTGGCGGTCCCCCAGCAGTAGTATTATTCCGCCAATACAGTAATCGGTTCTAGGGCTTAAATTCCTTACCCTTTTAGTAAATATCAAGAAGTTTATACTATTCAATAATTTTATAAGTTTAATATTAAATTTTTTAGTCATTTTAACAATTATTGAACATAATTGAAGGTAGGGTCACTAGTTTGTGGCACGCCATCCAGCCTGCCAACACAGCATATAGGCGTCAGTCTTTGTGTCTTTTCAGTGGAGGTAACATCTTGCTTGAGACTCTTCAACTAAACGATTTTTTTCTGTGTTTGCAAGCAAATTATTGGTCATTTTGAAATTTATTTTACATATTGACAATATATAATGCAGTGCACTGTTGATTTAAAGAAAATAATCTTGAATTACACCAAGAGAACTAAAATTTTATGGGTGAAATGGCACCATGGGGTGATTTCTCTTCCACCCCAATGCCTTCTCTTCTCCCTTCTCCACCCCCATTCTAATAACCATCATCATCCAGGAGCCTTCTACATACACACCTCAAAGTAAGTGTACTTTTCTACCTTTTTTGTTGAATTTAGGCAATCTTCGGTGAGCTGGAACCAATTACCCATTACCCAAAAACCCATTGAAACAATGGTTTCGGTTAACGAGTTTTTCAGTTAACGAGCAACCTTCTAGAACGGATTGTGCTCGTTAACCGAGGGACCACTGTATTTATATCATATCATAGTTTTACCTTATGATTTTCCTGATTGCCAGAGGTCATGAGTGAAGTTATGTGCAACTGTCCACGAACTTAGTCTTAGAGAGTACATTTGAAGACCATGGATATGAAAAGAATGTCTAAAGAGATTATATGAGTGAAGTGAGTTTGGTGTGTGAGCATAGGGTGTTGGAAGGAAAGTGTGGGTGTCTGTTTGAGATGGGTGTAGATGTGGTGTATTTGGGCATAAATCTGGATGAACAACTTTGTTGTGAGTGTGACCAGTGTAGATGTTAAAACCATAAATTCACACATCTTTTATTTTTTCCACAGGTGATGAACCTTTAGACTTAAGTGACAAATACTATCTTGCCATGGACTGGAGAACAAATGAGAGGCTTCCAGTCCACTGCCTTGTACAAGATAAAGAAGTGAGTATTTTGATCTTGTAGTTGTACACTGTTAGAGTTGAGTACAGTACCCTGTGTCTTTGGGGTTCATTATAAGAAGACGGGTTATAGAATAAAGCATGTAAGATGTAATATTACCACAGAGCAGTGTAGTTTTTGTTTATTTAAAGTGTTTTAGGGTAGGAAGTAATTGGTAGTAATTAGGAGATACAGTACCTCTTAAAGAGTGGCTAGGGTGTCTGGAGGAGTGGTCTAAGGTATCTAAATGGTTATCTCTCTAGAAATGAACATATAAGAAAGACTAGCAGGAGGTCTGGGAGCTGAGACCTTTCTAATGTTATATCTCAAGAGCTGCTAATGATTAATGTTATCTCAGGTCTGGGGGTAATAAGAGCTGCTAATGTTTAATGTTATCTCAGGTCTGGGGTAATAAGAGCTGCTAATGTTATCTCAGGTCTGGGGGTAATAAGAGCTGCTAATGTTTAATGTTATCTCAGGTCTGTGGTAATAAGAGCTGCTAATGTTATCTCAGGTCTAGGGGTAATAAGAGCTGCTAATGTTTAATGTTATCTCAGGTCTGGGGGTAATAAGAGCTGCTAATGATTAATGTTATCTCAGGTCTGTGGTAATAAGAGCTGCTAATGTTATCTCAGGTCTAGGGGTAATAAGAGCTGCTAATGTTTAATGTTATCTCAGGTCTGGGGTAATAATCAAGTGGTACACTAATGCGCCATTGTTTCGATGCACCCTCTACCCCTACTGACTCTGGAAGTCGTAGCCTTGGCTTCATACTGAACGCCCCTCCCCTCTCACTTCCCCCACCCATCGCTCAGTGGTGCAATGTGGTAGCTCGAAGCTTCGCTGGATTGTACTAATAGCAGTTTATGATGTAATGGTGTTGGTAAACAAGATCATGATAGATTTCTTTCATTGCTGTGAGAGTGAGTGACTGTCGAATGTGATACATGATACAGCACTGTTTATTGACTTTACTGTGAATGGCTTGTATGTGGTTTCTCCAGCTAAGTTTCTCATTAACAATAACTCCGAGGAATTTAGTATTTTGTTCGCATTTGAGGACTGTATTACCAAGGTACGGGGGTCCAAGTCTGGGGGTAAGTTTTTCCTTCTGTGAAAGATCGTGTAGTGGGCTTTTTCGAGGCTTATGGTCAGTTTATTACATATTACCCAGGTCCTGACTTCAGCCAATTCATTGTTCATAGTTCTCATCAAGGAATGGAGGTCTGAGTTGCTGGCATAGAGATTACTATCGTCTGCAAATAAGTTGTATTTTATGAGTGTTCTGGCGGGGATTATGTCGTTTATGTACAACAAGAACAGTACTGGACCGAGAATGGAACCTTGGGGGATGCCATACAATATTGGTGAGGAGTCAGTAATTTATAAGTGAATTTGTTTCTTTCATTTTGTGTTCTTTTTGTTGAATAGTAAGCTTTTTAACAAGTTCATGCCATTATTTCTCTGTTAAATAGGTGGACTGTGAAACAGAGGGCTCATATTCAGTACAGCGTAATCAACCCACCAGTTTGGAGGCTTGTATTGACCTTTTTACCCAGCCAGAAAATTTGTCTGAAGGGGATTCTTGGCGATGTCCAAGGTAAGTACAGTACAGTGTGACAGCAGGATTACAATGCCTTTTTCACATCTGAACTCCTGAAAAAAAAAATCAATAGCTTATGTATCACTGCCTTCTTGGATGTAATTGTTTGTTTATAATGTGTGATAGGACTAGCTTATGAAAAAGTCATGGAAAAATATGGTATTTTTTGCAGATGTAAAAAGCCGGTGGAAGCAACCAAGCAGATGAGTGTGTGGAGGTTACCTCATATCCTTATCATACAGCTCAAGAGATTCTCCTTCAAATATAGTCTCTGTTCAGACAAGATTGACAAGTTTGTGCAGTACCCAATTAGGTAAAGAAAAAAAATGTATTGTTGCTTTGATTATTTATCCCTGTCTCTCTGTCTGTCTCTGTTTTTCTTCATGGCCTTTATTATTGAATGTTGTCCCATTAAACTTCTAATAAAAATATAAAATTTTCAGTAGTGGGAAAAACTTCCTCTTAACCCTTACTCCCTGGGTGGCAAACCGGAATGCCTATCTGACACGCCCCGGGTAACATTCCAGAACGCGTGCCTTTTCCCACCACTGTTTAAATGCCCAGCGTGGTTTATGAGGTTCCTGCATGACTATTTGGTGGTCACGCCACACGCAGGTTAGGTTAGGTTAACTGAAGAGCTGTTTATTACAATTGTCCATGTTACAGTTTTTGTTTATAGTCTATTTAAGATTTCTAGTCCAAATTTGACCTAAACCTGTATCCAACAGAGGGTTAAACCTGCGGCCTTACATGTCAGCTGAGCCAGAAGATGGTCCAGCCATTTATGATCTCTACGGTGTTATCAACCACATGGGTCGGCTCTTGGGCGGCCATTATACCTCATACGCTCGGCTGGTATCAAAACACGATTCTCGTCAGTCTGAAATAGGTAGGTTAAAAGTATTTTTATATTAATTATAGAGTTTTACAGGATATAGAAAACCCACATTAGTTATTTAGGATGTGATCGATCCATGATGACAAGTGGATTTAATGGGTGGGAGGGAAACGCAGGAAAGAGCCGAGTTTCTTTATTTCTCTAATGTTTCAGGCAACACAACCATCTTCAGAGAGAATACAGCCAGTCCATATCAAGGAACTTAATCTGAGATAAAAGGGTACTCTCAGAATACTCCCTTTATAACATGGCCAACACCAGAGATAAAGTATAGCTTGTGCCACACTAATTATCTCCAATAGGGGATCCTTGTAAAATGGCTGAATGGATTGCGGTTCCCTTTCTTAATTAGGTTTTCAGTTCACGTATTGTACTGAATATAACACTCGCAGGATTTTATAAATGAGTTACAAGATAGGAACTGTGTAAATGTTAAGCATGGATGTGGTATCTTTCTTCACACAAGTACCTGTAGATGATGCGATGTCATAAACAATAGATGACGTAATGGGAAATGTTATTGAATATTATGTCACATTTTATGAGTGAGGTATGCATGTGTAGCCATATTACCTTAGTTATTGTGCTTTATAGACAGACTAATGTGAAAATCTACACCATTTTTCCTATATTTACTTAGACTGGAGGTTGTTTGATGATAGTCGAGTCAACTTCTGTCCTGAGTCACGCGTCGTCAATGAGCAAGCCTATCTGCTCCTGTACCGACGGAGAGACACTCCATTTTCAATGCACAGACCTTTGCCTCCACCTGCTCCTGCAGCCCTGGAGGAAAATGGCTTTGAACAAGGGGCAGAAATTGAAGAGGCAACACCAATGTCCATCTCCTCCACCTCTCAGCTGTCCTCTTCCCAACCTTCCTCCTCCAGTCTTGAAGGAGAGGAACAGCTTAGTACTGCTCAGGAAGAACTTGACTGAATCAGTCATTTATCAGTTTGATCAAGGCGCATGTTGGCTCTTGTATGTATCAGTAATGTGCAAGTTAGTGGCTCACACTTTTAATTAATTTTTATTATTTATTTCTGGTTGTGTAAAGTTTGTTGTACTATATTTCATACTTTGATTTTTTTTTTAAATTACCATCTCTCCTTTATATGAATTTGTCTTTTAGAAGTATTATTTGAACTGCCCCACATCTATGAGAGGACACAAAGACACAGCTATGATCTATCCCAGGTTTACAGCAGGGTTTTTCATGCATTTTCTCCAGATACTATTATTGATGTCATGTATCACCCTATTAGCTCACACACTTTTCAGACATATCCATATACAGGTACTGTACTTGTTAATACTCACCCTATGCTAACAATTATACATACCATCAGTCACTAGTAAGTTATCTTTCTTTCATTCCACACTTCTTCAACATGTTTTTTGTATTTCTACTTTAACTTGTCAGTACAGTATAGAACACACGTCCTGTGACTTCCATTATCCCCTGAATCATTTATCTATGAAAAAAAATCATTAAGAGTTCCTCACACTGCTGGGTGTAGTATTGGCTCCACTGTTTTTATCCAACTTTAAGAATATTTACGACTCCATTAATGTTTCTTTCTTAAAGTTCAGTCAGTTAATAATGGATTTTGTCGTCCTATTTAATGATGTAGGTCTGAGAACTCTTGTAAATATTATTTTCCTGTGACACAAACCATAAAAGTTTGTTTTTCATAATTTTGAGTCACTGTGATCATTGGTCAAATGTTATACAGTACTAAGATTCTCAGATGATTTTTTTGCAGAGCAGCATGGCAGCCTTGCAAGTGAGTAGTTTTACTAAAAGAAAAAATGTTTGACAATTATGCAAAATATTAGAAGTTAAATTTTTTAAGCAGAAAATGAACAAGAATTGTTGATGTTTTTAAAGAGGTTGTGTAAGGCAGTACAGCACAGTTGATGTTTGCAAATGGACGTAAGGATATCCATGTTTTTAATTAAAGGTCTTGGAGGCACTTATATTTTTATGCTCTTATTATTTATTCATGATATTTAGATAATTGAGTACATTAAAAAAAAAGTTAACCAGTTGCAATGAACTGCTGCTTTAAATTCATTGGTGCACATACTGTATGTATTGATAAATAAGAAGTACTTTAATGCTCTGGTGCATGTACTGTACACTAACTGGGTAGTTAGATGGAGGAGGTAACTAGGACATTGTTGTGTTGTTGAAGTGATTCAGAGAGAAATGTAGGGCACTGGACCACATACACTGTCTTTGGGGCAAAAAAGGAGTATATTATCCTCCTTTTATTGGTAAAGTCCTGCATAGAGGCCGGTTGAGATGGCATGTGGAAAAGATGGTTAAGAGGTGCTTGAGTCTAAATATAATGGGGAGGACAGCCAAGAAAGACATGGGGAGAGGTTGAAAGAAATTATATTATAACCCCCCCCCCCTGTAATTATGAACCTGGTAAGAGAGACTGCAAGAGACAGTGCAGCATGGAGAACTGCCATCAGGTAACCACAGCTAATCCATGTAAGTGTGGAAGAATGTCCATAAGATGATGATGAATGATTGTGTCAAGTTTTATACCTAAATCAGAAAAGTTTGGGAAATTCTAGATGAACATTTCAATCTTCATTTTGATAGGTTTAATATCCAAGCTGTGAACCAATTTAAATGTCATGACATCAATGTATGAGGAAGTTGTATTTACTTTATAGATGAAAATAAGAGCTTCAATTGTTAATTTTCATTATGTGAATGCTTTGATTATCTTTAGTTTGTCTCTTCATGCAAACAAAGTTTTCTCTCCATAAGCCTTGGCTGTTGCTGTACAATTATAATCTGTACAGTACAGTACTGTAATTATTTGTGTTATCCCTTAGACCCCGGGCATCGAAAGACCCCCACGCGGGTATATTTCGGTAATTTTTTAATAATTTTTTTTAATCCATTGTCACCTTGGGTTAATCAATATAAGAAAGATGTCAGAAGATTGTACTTACATTCAACTTTCATTGTAGCATAGTTGGAGAGTTTCCTGGGGTGTTGATGAGCAGTGTGAAGTGATGAAAGGTGTCTTGTTTGAAGCTGCTACACACACACACAGTCCACATTGAGTGAGAAGTGAATTTGACACGCACTTGCAACACACAGTTCTCACTTGAAGGCCTTTTTATATCGCATTTCTCTCTTATAGCTATTACAAAATTCAAAATATTTCTATTTTCCTCGAAAGAACTAAAATATACAGGAGGTCCTCGTTATATGAGTACAGTATTCACTATCCACTGTTTTGCAGTTAAGTTGTCAACTTTTTGTGACTATCCACGTAAAAATTTCCCGCATTTAAGTGGATTCCACTCAAAAACTCTGAAAACTCCCGATGAAATCTACGAATTTTTAGCAAAAGCGTTTGAAATTTCATCCTCTTCCTGTCTTCATGCCTTTGTTGTGTCTCTTCGTGCATGTTGTGGTGAAATATTTTATAATTTTTGTAGCCATAGTTCCCAACCCAAACAGGGTGGTGCAGCACTCAAAAGGAAGCACACTGTCTATAGTATAGATGTAAAACTAGAAGTGATTAGGTGAAAGAAGAGTTGGAGTGGACAATCCACCCAGTCTTGTTTCTTATTCATCCTCTGACTAATCCTCCATCCCCTAACACCTACCCCATCAATCCAATCAAGCTAAAATTAGTTATTTTTAAAACATTATAATAAGTATTTTGTCTCAATGATCCACTGGAGTGAGTGTGCACCAGCAACAGTTGATGTGGACCACCGGGTCGCTGGCACAGCCCATGTTGCCTCAACACACCGACCCCAATGAACTTTAAGGACGTTAGATAACTTATAAAGTTAAATAATTTTTTAAAATAATGTGTTATCAATTGTTTCTAAGATAAATAATTGTTAAAAGATATCATATAAATTTTTTTTTGGCCTAACTCTTCACTACAGGGATGCCACTTTTAAGGTTTTATTTTGGCTAATGCCAGACAATTTTATTCAGAATAGAGGGGACCTCATACACAGGTGGTTAAATCCAATTTATTAGATTTTCACACTTCATGAATGAAGCCCTATACAGGGGGGTCTGGACCCCCTATTTTCATCAGAAAATTCCAATACCTTTTCTTTTATGCAATATTGCACTCAGGCATTTTTTATAGTATAAAGTAATTACTATTGACCTCAGAATATCTCCTAATGTCAAGTGCACATGGCTTCAAAGTGGCCTAAAAAAAAAAAACTGGGTGACAACATAACATAAGAAAATAAGGAGTCTCCAATAGGCCGATTGGCCTGTGCATGGCAGCTCCTGTCGAGAGTTACTACCACTCTCTATCATCCATGAATCTGTCTAGCCTCCTTTTAAAACTCTCCAGCATTCCAGCACTTACTACAAAGTTGCTGAGCTTGTTCCACTCGTCCACCACCCTATTTGTGAACCAGTTCCTGCCTATCTCCCTCCTAAACCTAAACTTATCCAACTTAAATCCGTTGCTCCGAGTCCTATCCTGCTCGGATATTATAAGAACTTTTTCTATATCTCCTTTATTGATTCCTTTCACCCACTTAAATACTTCTATCATATCTCCCCGCACTCTTCGTCTTCCTCGGGAATGCAAGTTTAGTTTCTTTAACCTATCTTGATAGGGAAGGTTTCTAAGTCCTGGAATCATTTTCGTCATTCTTCGCCGCACCGACTCCAGTGAATTGATATCCATTCTATAATAAGGGCACCAGAACTGAACAGCATAATCGAGGTGCAGCCTGACTAGCGCAAGATATGCTATGCTCGCCATGTTCCCCCACCTACAACTTCTTGGACCCCCCTTTTGACATTCCTTGATCTGCAAACTAAAATCCTCCCCATTACTTGCTCACATGTTCTAGTTTGGATTAGATAATTAGTAACAGTTTTAATACATTTTACAGGTTACATTGATGTATTAAAATACATACTGAATTATTCCAAGTGATGTTTGTAACATTTACATAACTTGTTTATGACAATAACAACACTAGCAGCCAAGAGGTCTAAAGCCCACTACAATATTCTGTGTGGCATGAAGGTGAAAAAGAATTTTTTTAGTGAGATATATGATACTGTGTTGAGAGAACACTGTACATGTACTGTACTTTCTTAAGGAATCTAGATTATCTCTGAAGTCAATAAACAGTGGTCCCATATAGTATAAACTTCCAGATAGAGTTGTTCAGAAAAACAAATTTGTTTATTTTTATACATGTGATACTTGAGGTGACTTCCTTACCCTGGGCTGTGGGCTTATCTTTATTCTGTTTGTATTTCCATTCCAGAATCTGATCACACCCAATTTTGTCATTGATTTCACAATTGCCAAATACTAAAGACTAACATCAATAAAAATTTTGCCATATCTAAGCATTGTGTTCACAAGCAAGATGATATTATTATTAATCTAACACAGAGATTGAAGAACTTAGATATAATTTTCCTATACAGTACAGTATATTTTGTATGCCTTTAGAGCACATGCTATTTTATAAGATATTTATAATACTAGGGATTAATTTCAGTAAACTTTTACACTCTCCTTGTGATTCTTGGACGAAATTATTAGATATTGGTTGTAACCTAAAGTTGTCAAAGGCTATGGTGTGAGGTCAGATTGGCATTGCTAGAATTCTCAAGATCATTTCTAGTTTTTATTTATTTTTTCTTCCATATCAAGAAGATAGAAATGTGTATGTATAACCATGTGTCAACTATGGCTGTCATCTCTTAGACTGACATGTATTTGCTGGATAAGTACCTTCCCTCATAGCTAATGTCATATCTCTCTTAATGCCATTCTCTGCCATTTAAATGTTTTTCCACTTTTGACTATTGTTTATCACAGTTACACAAATATGGTAAATGTCAGAGCTTAATTGCCTCCTGTGTAATTGAGGTTTTCATTTCTGTAATTAGAAGATTGGGATCAGTCTTGGGCCCAGTGTGGCTCATCCTTCACACATAATGTCTCGTCTCTTTATTGGAGGCACATAATTTATAATGTTGCATTTCGTTTTTTTTTTTTCCAATGATGAATATTTAGGATACAAAAAACAAATGGAATATCTTGTTAGACAGACATAAAGATCTTAATGACAAAGTGAAAACTAAAGACAGTACAAGTGTTAACAAAACTTAAATAACCATCATCATCACCATCATCATCATCAAGCAATCTGATGAGTAATGTGGGAGAGAGTTTTGGGGATAGTCTGCTGCATTTCCTTCGGTCTTTCAGTAGTATGGACATTCATTTTGAGTTGCAGGAAACATATAAACTTGCTGGCTACAATTATTACACTTAAAGTCTTTACTCTTGAGAGAGGTTTTAGGTTTGAACAAAGTAGCTAGGCTTATTTATTTACTTCTACTCCCAATACACAACCAGAGGGCAATTTTGTGACCTGAGAAACCGGCTTTATTGTGTCCACTTTTTAAGAAACCTGATCTTGATACTAAAAATAAGTCAAATTATCGTCCTGCTTCCAATCTCTTATTCTTATCAAAGATCATAGTGTGTGTTATGCTGGATCAGTTGCTTAGTTACATCCTTTATTAGAGAGAAATGGAGTGATCCTCTGGTCCAGTCAGCCTATAGGGAGCATTATGTAAAATTCATAACAATTTGGTAATAAACACTTACACAGGAAAGTTCTTCCTTGATCTCTGCAGTTTTTAACACGGTGGTTCATCATCTGTTGCTTCAGGATCGTTGGTTGTTTGGTGTCCATGAGAATCCACTCTCACTGCTCGAGTCTTATTTATCAGAGTGATCTGAGTGTGATGGTTGGTAGAACCATTTAGAGTCGGTTCCTTTGCAGTTTGAAGTCCTACAAGGATCAATTTTAGGACCACTTGCATCTCTGCCAGATGCTCATGGTGTTGCCTACCATTTCTATGCCGATGATACACAGTTTTATGTGAAAATAATAAATATTGAGGAGATAACATAATTCTGATGTTAAGATTT